GAAAGTGGCTCTTGAAGACATACAGTCGCCGTGCCATGACCCACAAAGAGAGCGTGATGAACTATCGGACCTCTCGGGCCCGTCGGGTTGTGGAGAACGGCTTCGGGATATTGGCTCACCGGTGGCGGAGCCTGACAGGGTGATTCGCGTTGTGTTGGGCTGCCTCACCCTTCACAATTGGCTGCGAAAGCGCCGGTCCGGACTACAGGACCTTAATTTGGACCACCGTGGATGAGGATGGCAACGTGGTCCCCGGGGCCTGGAGGGAGGATGTGCAGATGACCGAACCCAACCAGATGGTCGGCCAACGGGCCTCAAGGGAAGGGAAAACCCTGGGAAACTTATCGAAGAAGACCGGATTGACCGAGAAGAACTCAACCAGGCGCTCCTCCTGTTTCGCCGAGAACGAGCAGTTGGCCTTTTCCTTTGTCACACCCTTTTCATGTGACCCCTTCTCCGATCCACCAGCAGCACCCTCCTCATGATCAGACGCTTTGGCGTCACCATCCGACTCTTTTTCGCTCCTCCTCTCCTCTTCCTCTCTGGCCCTCTCATCTTCCGCGGCCCGTTTCTGTTGGGCCTCTCTGGCCTTCTTATCCGCTGCCTTTTGAGCTGCAGATGCAGCTGACCCCTTATTCTGTGTCTTCTTCGGCGCCATCTTGGAGACGAAATGTTGGCACTCTTCCGTCGGCTCGGCTTTTGTATACTGCATAAATCAGTGCGCACAACGTGCGTTGTAAGTGCGGAGCACGTGCTCATGCACTCGGTACGGTCCACGTGAGTTCTGCGTGCTCATTAGAAAGTTGAACTGGGGAAGTGGCGAGTAAGCACGGACCATGCGCTTATCACGTGCGCAGCACGCACGTGCTAAGTGCGCCTTCCGTAGAGCAATTGATCGTGGGAAACAAATTTAAAAACGCACGGAGTCAGTGCGTTGTGCGCTCGTTGGCAGTACCGGGCACGCACGTCACGCGCACTGGGGGTGAATCGGTAGCCCGAACGCAGCGAAAGTTCCTCGTGCACTAAAAGTGCTACGGTGTGTCTGCGTGCTCCCAAATCCGTACGGAGGCGGTACTCACCACGTACCGATACCCACATTTTGCCCACGTTTTTGCACGTAGACAGCACGCACTTGCAAGTACGGCGGGATGTGACCACCGCATTAGGGACCCCACTGGAAATAAGCTCTCGAGCTTTCGTGGGTTATCCTGTTCAAGCTGACTTATTTTTGATCTGTTATTATTGTATATTGTTGTATGTTGGAAGCTTGTCGAATAAAAATCAATCAATCAATCAATCAATCATCTATAAATTTCGATCAAAATCATATTGCTCCGATTGTCTCATTTTCGCTCGCGTGAACATTGCCAGCACAAACCACTGACCTCTACCTCCTACACGGATCATCGCACATTCCCATTCACTATACGTTACGTACTAAAAGGCTGTATTGTCTGACCGTTCATGAATATTCATGTTTGTGCTAAACTCGGCAAAATGTTTGCTTTTACTAAATGGAAAAATTACGGTGGGGGGTTGGATGAAATGGACAAAACGAAATAGGCAGAAATGATCTATGATAATTCACGCTTTTTATGTTTCGTGTGCTCGACCTATAATCTTCAAATCGCTTGGTAAACTGAGTCCAAAGTTAGACTTGTTTCACATGTGTATTATAGGCAATGACGAGCTTGCAACCTATTTTGAAAAATTACGGTGGGTGAACTTTCAAAAGTCAACGAGACATGAGGGCTCCAATGAAAGAGCTAGTGATAACGTACGTCGGGGTGGATGTGCTTTTCGTTTAGACAAAAAATGAATTTTTAACGATTTAAAAAAAAAAACGTCCATAGGCTAACATGTTAGGCTGCTGAATCTAACCATGCTCTGACGATAGGGGGCGTTGTGAAATGAGACTAAACGGAGCCATATGGAGCAAGTTTTGTATGCAGATGATATTACATTGTTTTTAAAAGATATGGATTCAATTAATAAAGTGAAGAAAGTTTTCAAAAACTTTGAAAAAATAAGTGGATTGAAGATAAATATGGATAAGACAAATTTTATGTGGTTAGGAGAGGAAAGTGATAGGCCGGGTTTACCCTTTTTTGGACATAGGGTACAACATATAAAGGTCCTAGGGGTATATTTCGCACGTCATTCCAAAATAAAAGATGATTTGAACTATAAGGAAATTTTGAGCAAAATCAAAAGACTAATCGGTTGGTGGAAGCAACGAGATTTAACGATGTTTGGCAAAATTAAATTGTTGAAGATATATGTATTTTCAAAACTAAATTATGTTTCGTCTCTTATGACAGTCCCACAAAACATTTTTGAAGAAATCGAAAAGATTTCTTTTAATTTTATTTGGGGAGGGAGAGACAGAATAAAACGGAAAATATTATATCAAGATTACTGCGCTGGGGGACTCAGAGTAACAGATTTTAAGATATTTATCAAGACTCAGAGAATAATGTGGATCAAACGGTTGCTCTATGGAGAAAAGTATTCAGGTTGGAAAGTAACCTTTGACCACTTTTTCAGATCACTGGGGGGTCGAATTATATTTCTTTGTAATTATGATATAAATAAAATGGACTTGAAGGGTATACCATCTTTTTATAAAGACATGTTGAAGGCATGGCAAGAATTAGATAAATGCAGACACTTTGGAGAAAATAAGAATAATCCGATTATATTTAGCAATAAGTGTATATGTCTCAGCAATAAAACATTTTTTGATGTCGAACTATTTCAGAAAGGTATACTTCAAGCATCAGATATAATTGTCAGAGGCCATTTAAAACCGATCTTACATTTTTTTTAAATTTGGGTTTTGCAACTAAAAGCTTGCTTAGAATTCAAAAGATCTTTTCAGCAATCAGAAACGAATGGATACAAAGTAATTTTATGGAAGTGGACATTGAAAATTTTGAAATAGAATTGATGATATATGGACGTTTACAGAAACTATGTGATATAAAATCTAGGCGGTTATATGATTACTTCATTGAAGACCTTCAAAAAGAGTATACATTACATGTTACAGATGGCAACTGTCAATTTGATCTTGGAATGACGGAGTTGAAAGAAACATTCACAAGGATGAAAGGTGCAATGCTTTGTAATATACATAGAGAGTTTCAATACAAACAATTACAAGGGGCTGTATATACGAAAAGAGAGCTCTTTAAATTTGGTTTTGAGTCCGACCATTTTTGTTCCTTTTGTGGACTAGAAGTAGAGACATACCAACATTTATTTTTAGATTGTCATACAGTGCAATAATAAAAATAAAACAAAAGTACATTTTCATAAACTGTTTAGAATACATTTGTATATATATGATCAAGAATATTTAAGTAAACTTAAGTAAAGATAATTTTTTATTTTGACACTCGTCAAATATTCAAGCGCACGCACTCACACACGCACGCACACTCATTCTCACATCAGGGCCTTTGTGGGGCACCTGATTGTGGGGTATTTCTGTGCGTTCCAGATATACCTTGTGGTCCCCTACTAGTGGGGTATGTACAACCTGGCGATAACAACCCGGCGGTGTGCTTACGATGTTACCATAAAAAAGTGTGCAAGTTTTAGCACACGCTCACAAAAAGTCATTTATGGGGTACCACTTCTAATGCCCCGCAGGGCATAGGACACCGAATATACAGTCATTTGAAAGACTTTACTCTGTGGGGTCCTGAAAAAATACCCCACAAAGTAAAAATGCCTCACAAGGGGTATGTGAAGCGCACATAAAACCCCACAAGAATGCTGAGGTGAGAGCACGCGCACCCGCACAAACACGCATGCACTCGATGAAGCATAATAGTACTCTTGTATTTAAATGTGGACACTTAAAATTAAAATTCAAGTTCCTAAACACAACGTCTTTAAATTGTCAAGGAAGACAAAACACATTACAATGAGATACGTGTACCAGATAGTAACAGAGAAAAAATGTTACTAAGAAAGGAGACTAGACGAAGACTTTACAGAACAATAATAACGGTGAACAAGAAGTGATAAAAGAAGAAAGAGAGTAGCGAATTAACAGCTAGGGGCAGGCGCGGATCCAGGATTACTTAGGGGAGGGGGCCCAATTTTTTTTTTGTTGCTCCCGATAATTTGAAAATCGCGCCGGCCGAAAAGTCGCTCAGTGGGGGGGGGGGGGGGGGGGGGGGGGGGGGGGGGGGGGGGGGGGGGGGGGGGGGGGGGGGGGGGGGGGGGGATCCTCAAAAAAATTTCGATTTGCACCCCCCCCCCCCCCCCCCCCCCCTTGAGCGCCAGGGGGGGGGGGGCCCAACCCCCAAAAAAGGTAAAAATCACGTGATTTTACATGATTTTTTTTCTCAAGAGGGGGGGGCCGGGCCCCCCCCCCCCTGGATCCGCCACTGGCTAGGGGGTCTGTATAGAGTACCAAAGTACAGCTGTATAGGTCAATTAATATATATATATTATATGCACATAAGATGGAACAGAAAAAGATCGGTAATAGGCTGTTAGATAAATCAACCAGATCATATTCTAAGACAATTCTAGACAATTTCTTTTAAAAGTAAAATCAACTTGGGTACAGAACTAGTCTTCGACTAGCCCTCTTTCTCTTGCTCTCGCTCACCCCGCCCCCCCCCCCCCCCCCCCCACTTCTTTCCTCTCTATCTCTTGCTCACATCCCACTTCTTTCCCCCCTCTCTCTCTCTGTCACCCCCTAACTTCTTTCATCTATCTCTCTCTCTCACTCTCTCTCTTCCCCAACCGCCCCCTCCTCACATTTTACCCCATCTCATATACATAAAGACTTTCATCATAACTTGGTATTCTAGACCAGTTTGTTACAGAATGTCTCCCTTATGTTGCAAAGAATTCAGATCCATCAGATAGAAAATAAATTTGGAACTTTTACCAACAACAAAATATATACATAATTGTAATAATAATAATTATTTTTTAAAGATAGACAACAAAGAATTTGAAAAAATGCAAGAATATACAAGACAGAAAAGATTGTAAACAACGACACTATTCATATCGTTTACCCTTTAATAATTCTTGAGTCACCTGTACACGCATGCATACTCCATATGCGGAATATATAAATTACAAGTATCATTTTGATGTGACTACACGTACATTCTTGTACAGCATGATTTAAGAAAAATTAACATTTTAAAACTATTTTGAATTTAATTCACTGCATGGTGATTCATTTTGCGACACAACTAACACAAGTCCAATTAATGAAGTAAAAAAAAAAAAAAAAAAAAAAATCTTAAATATGTTGAATGTCGCCATTTATCTTTATCCCCATATAAACCACAAGAAAGACATTTATAATCTTTAGTATTTGATTACAACTACATCCACACATGATTATAGATTTTCAAAAATGCAGCATTTGATGCTGGATAAAAAGGACAAAATTCAACCTCTTATTGAACAAATCCATATTAAATGACATTTCTGAACTCAATCTTTAATAATATATATAATAATGATAATTGAAAACTGAGTAAGAAAAAAACTATTCATCAAAACTTATTGATATACATCACACACCATTTATCCATCAGTACTGTACATGTATATAAACAGTGTATTCTTTATCTTTGAGATATAAAAACTGGAAAATTGCCTTTTCAGACACATTCAGCAAATACTCACAATATCTATTATAAAATAAAATCAGACTCTTTACTGCACACAATGGATGAGTTGACAAACAAGTTTTTTCAGCATTTCATCTACATTATTGCTGAAATTTGACCCAAACTGCATATTATTCCATGAGTCACACACAAATAAGCGAGGCTGGAATGATAAGATGGTGAAAGACTTGTGAGCTAGCTAGCAAGTTAATCAAGGCACTTAGTAAGTGACTACTCCAGAACCTGAATGGTGTAATTTTATTTCACGATAGCAATCTCTCAAAAGATACATGTGTATACTCTTTGGCAGAAGTTTGATGATCATACATGTATAGTCGCACATAAAATAGAAATAGGCACAAAGGTATTCTCGAGTCAACTTTGAAACATTTGAAACCTTGTAGAAAAGTACAAACGTATTGCAATCATTTGTTTTGTAATGATCGGTGTGCATGAAATGATGACATGCCATGGATTAAAATTAACAATCTTAAAATTCATGTACAGTTCTGGTAAATCTTAAAAAACTTTTAGTAAAATGTCTTTGAATTTAGATGAAATATAGGCAGATACTAGTAATACTGAGATGTTGTAAATCTATTTCTCCTCGAGTGAAATCCTAAACTTATGAGAGGTAGGAAATGATTTAATTACAATCCTAAGATGTAAATTTTAACAACAGTAATCTGCAATACCAAGGTGTAAAACTGAGGAATGTGCGTATACCCTAAAGTCTACATGCATACTGTCTCTAAGCGAAGCACTTGGATAAATGTAACAGGAGCTGTATAGCTGTTATATTACATTTGTTGCAGATATTTACACTGCAATTCACTGGAAATAATAAGTAGAATACTATTTGGTCTTGACCATGAATCATTTGATATAAGAAGATCGAGGGACATGAGACTACAACGTTCAAAACGTTTCTTTTCAATTTCTTTTTTGTTACCAAAACTGTACATGAGCTTTAATCCTCACATCATCTTGAATATGTCATACCTACATGTACACACGACAAGACCATGACATCCGATAATACTAGCTGACTTTGGTCCAATCTTATTTGAACTGCTATCAAATAGTGATGTTGAATTCGCTCTTTGACAACTGTCCATATAGGCATAGTAAATTTACATTTTGCATATCAACTGTCTACTGATAAAGCTAAGTACTAAATTTGCAATTCAATAATTATTTGACTACATCAAAGCAAGAGATCTATTAATGAACATGGCAGTCTTAGCCTTTAACATACACATGTAATGTAGTCTACATTGTAGACGGTTAAGCGTCATTTTAATATAAATTTTTGAGTTTTATATCCCCTCTGTCATACCATCATGGACCCTACATAACAAATTTGGATACCTAATTCTCTGAAAATTCTACAAAGCAAAATTATTTGGTCCAAAACATAAACTTACAATAACAGAACCAAACTCGTTAAGTATGACTGGTATTTCATAAATATTACACAGCATCATGTAGATGTACATTGTACAGTTTGAAGTGCCGGTTTCAGACAATAGTAATTGTACAATAAGTATTGTTGATTAAATACAGCAATAAAAGATTAATTCTCAATATATTAAATAGGCAATATTTACGGGCAGCTTATACAATACAAGGTGGAGACAGCACATTTTGGCCAAAAAAAAATTGAGCGAAGTAGGGAATAAGTACATATCACCAATTCATTAAGCATCTAGGATGGATTTGAAAGAACACTCAATTACAATGCATTAAAGGTAACAAATACATTATTCATACCTAGTTAATACTATGTTTTGCAATTTTTTAAGTATGTCAAAAATTGATTTGTCCCAATTTATGTTTCTTGAGAATGTGACATATTAAAGCTTACATCTACAAGCAATACCCATTTCATTTTTAGTTATAAAAAACACAACAGCAACACGTCACATCAAATTTACATTTTGTATGAATAATTCATTTTTAGAATACGATACATTTTTTTCCAGCAAACATGTTTCAGAAATAGAATTCATCTGTCTTTGTATAAAAATTGTTTGTTGGTAAGTACACCATACAAAGAACAGTTTTCTCTCAAAAAGTTGATTCGTGACTAATGACCTATCAAAAATTTCTGCTCTCTAAAATATACATTGAATACAAATATTCAATTTCTTTTATTATTACATTTACTTTATATTAAATATAAAATATCAATTTACAGTAAGATATAGATTGATAGGCAATAATTCAGAAAATATTGGCAAAAATACTATGAAAATATTTCATTGAGTTTTAACATAGAATTTTAATATATTCCATTTATTGATCTATAAATCATTAAACAAGCAAAAAACTTTGATCCGGATCAGTTTGCACATTTCCCTTATAAAAAGGCCAAATAATTTGTGCACATGCCTATTAGTACATGTACAAAATATAGATCTTTCAACAATCTGTTACAATTCCTCACCATACACATGGACTTCTTTCAAATATAAATAATATGAAGAAGATTTTTATTTTTAAAGCAAGAAGACAGATTCAAATCATAGCTCAAGGAAGGCGAACAGCAATATTTCAGGATTCATGCTATTTCAGTATTCAACCTCTTTCTTATCGGTATTCACGTTACCTCTTTTGAGCCACCAAGTTTAATCTAAACTCCCCACCACTGGGATGTGACATTTTGAATTCATAAGTAGCCTGATGTCTTGTTGTCTACTGAGCACCAACTTAATTCATAGGATCCTGCTCTCCCGACCCATTACTGTCCCTGCGGAGAGAAAGAAAGTTAATTTCCATCTTATTCTTACAGAATAATGGGCAAATATTTTGAAGGAAGCCTAAAATTAAAAAAAACACTTTTAAACATATGGTATGGTAGTAGATTGGTATAATCACTTGACTGGAAATAGGTCATGGAATTTACCCCCCCCCCCCCCTTTCCCCATGGCATGTATGCCCTTGAGAAAGCATTTGACTTTCATTCATCTCTCTACCCAGGTGTTAAGTGGGTACCTACAGTGTAGCTGGTAGGATATGAATGTCATTGATTATGTTAGCAGGTGCACACTGGCTGAATTGCTTAAACCCAGTGCTGAATGTTCACGGTCATTTGCAGAAGTGTAATTCAATCCAGTGACAGGGTTAATAATGCAAACACTTTGGTCTTTTACACTGTAACTGGTAAGGCCCTGAATAAAAAGCAGTTATCAATATCAATATATGAACCACAAAAATGTATCATACATAGTTTCTTTAAATCAAAACAGACATACAATTATCTCTTCTCCTGTGGGGATTCCTATTTCTTTATTTTGAGATTTATCAACCAGTTTTGGAAATGCCCCCCTCTCAAAAAATGAAATGGAAGCTGTTATTACCAATCATGTGAAAGAATATGTTTTGACTAATACATGATGATAAAAATTTTGCCGGGAAACCTCTTACTAATCTAATATTTGGTAAATTAGTTTATCTACATGGTCTGTGAGAGATAAACTCATGTGTCATGCACTCCATCTTGGGTTCCGTGTCAGCAATAAATGCTTGGTTTCATATTACCAGTTTATTTTTGTCATACTCCTTATCCATTTACCTACAAGTATACATTGCCAGGCAAACTATTTGGGGGTTGATTGTATACATTCTAGCCACACACAAATCATTTTAAAGGTAATTGCTACACTTAAAAAACTTAAAAGGTACAAATTTATAGACAATCATTTCAATTGTTTATTGAAAATGTCCAGTACTTAACCTTAATAACTTAACAAAAAACTAAATAACAGTAATTTTATGGGAAATTTCAAAGAGCAGATAATTTCTTGCCCGATTTTATCTTTGGCATCTTTCTTTCTCTTTACCTTGTTCGCCCTCCACGTTGACATCTGCCACATAAAGTCTTCTGTATTCTAACTGTACGCGGATCCAAGAAGAAAAGAAACAAAACCCCAAAGAAATGATTATAGTGTTAAAGAACTTTAAGCTATATTTGATTCCTTGCTTTGCATGAGGAAGAAGGAATATATGCTTTCAAATGATGAATTGATGACATTAATAAATACATCCTTCACATTGTTTGAAAATTTCATGTCAAAATCAATTTGTTCCAGATTTTGGTAAAACCCTGCGAATGTTAGGATCATACATGAACACAACAAAACATGAGCTGAAGGAAACACAAACTTTAAAACCAACTGAGATAATTATTTGTAATGCCATCATCATAAATAAAGGATAGTGGAGATATTGTGGATGGTAGGTGCAAAAATGGCATAGTTTGTACTAAAATGGGTCTGTGATTGTTATGAATTTTTGCATTTTTGAAAAATAGCCATCATTTTTTCAACGGCATATTTTCAAGGTAACCCGGCTAAAAGTCGAGCAGTGAGGTCCTCTTAAAGTGGCTCAGTAACATTGTTAAAGATTGCTGAAAAAACTGTGTAATTTTTTAATGAAACGTTACTTATTATATTACTCCTACTATACTAACCCTTTAATATGCAAAAAATCCTGAAAAAATTATCAAACCACAAAGATATTTATATTTGAAGGCGTCACTGTGCGACACCTTCTAACAGTAAATTCTCCAAACCATTTTTGAATTTTCCCAAACGTTTTTCCATAAAAAATAAGACATAAGACAGGCTTTAAAAAAGATGTCAACCCTTAAATGTCTGAAAAGGTATTTAGAGCCAATTCATATCTTTGTGACGATTTTTACATTCACCTAAAATGTAATTAAATTGTAATAATATAGGTGGAAAAATTAAGGAATTGATCAGATCAGTTTTTCCCAATATTTATCATCAGAGCCTGGCGGATACCAGCGCTATATAAATATCCATATTATTATTATTATTAATAATGGTCTGTTTTCACTCAAACTTTTAGATTATCTTTAATTGTACATCTAGCATTGAAGTCACTACCTTAACACCATTTCTCTCATCTGAACTATGTAACAAAGTCCATTAACAGGTTGATACTGAACAGCCTTTTACAACATTCCATGTCTGAACAACTGATTTGCCCCCAGTCTGGGTATAGTGAATTAGCAAGTTAGAGTGTCATGATTGTGTCCCTTATTATAAACATACATTCATGATGTAGTTCTACAATTCACAACACTTTATTTTATTGGCATGTATTATAATTATAAATGGAAAACGAATTGAGAAAATCTCTGAACCTGCAAACATTCTCTGCTTTCCTAAATTACTCTTCACATGCACTAGCCACTATATGCATTAAGAGTACATGTATATTGATTACCAAGAGGGAAAGAAATGTTATCTATCAGAGATCATAATTCTTTATTTGCAATGCCGTGTTTGCAAAGTCATTTAAACCGAGTGGATTGCTCTGATTTGTGCAAAGTATTACGCAAAGCACAATGTACATCTATAAGTACATTATCATGTAGGCTTATATGTCACAGGTACTTTGGTAAACATTACCAAAAGGAAAGACTTGTTCTATCTAATCAATAGTTTCATTGTTTTATTCAGTTTAACCCTTTCAGGGTTGAAGACAAAGTTTGAAATCATATTTTAAAAAATATAAACAAAATTGGGGTGGGGGCAAAGAAAAGCTTGTCTTTTCCCTCGTTAGGGGTGAAAGATAACAGCATCTATAGTCTGCACATGTATCTTGCAGCCATGTATGAAGTTTTTATACAATCAACTATAAAGGTGATGATGAGAAATGGCAAGACATGTCAACAGCAGTAGTAATGCACTTGTCATTTGTAAGACGCACCTCTTGACCCCCGGGAATGGTGCGTCATCATACCTTGGATATCATACCTTGGAAGTAGGCATAAAGTTATACAAAACTTATTTGCCCCTCGGTGTCCGTTAGTGGGTTACTGTTGAATTTGGCGTTGTGCAGTTACGGATGAACATGGACAGTTGAATAGTTCATCAGGATTAAACTTGTCCTTCTTCAATGACCAGTACTTGTCAAGATTTGATTTGAAAGAATTGAGTGATGGACTTTCTGCTACATATGATGGGAGACCATTCCATTCGTTTACTACTCTCTGTGAAAAAGAGCTCTGCCTCAATTTAGATTTTACATGTTTCTTTTGTAGTTTGAACTGGTGACCTCTTGTTACTGTGACAGTGGTACGATGAAAGAAATTAGTTGACTGGAGGTCGTCGATTCCATGCATTATCTTATAGACCTGTAGCATGTCGCTTCTATGACGTCTGTATGATAATGAAGGCAAATTTAGTTGCTCTAGCCGTAAATTGTACTGCAGACTTCTGAGAGGTTGAAGGAGTTTAGTTGCACGACGTTGAACTTTTTCCACTTTGAGAATATGTTTCTTCTTATAAGGGTGCCACACGGGAGAGCAATATTCTAGTGCCGGTCTCACAATTGACTTGTATAACTGTGTGAGTCCCTTGTTGTCCATAGTTGAAAAAGTACGCTTGATGATTCCTAGTTTCCGGTTTGCAGCATTGCAAGCAGTGTCAATGTGATTTGAAAAGGACATTTTAGCATCAAATATTACTCCCAGATCTTTTTCATGTTGAACTGCAGGTAATGGCTCGTTCACATCGTTCATAGTGTAGTCACACAAGGGATTTCTTCTTCCATAGTGGATGACTTTGCATTTCTCAATGTTGAAAGGGAGTTGCCATGTTCTAGACCATACAAGAAGGTTGTTTAGTTCTGATTGAAGAGTCTTTCCGTCGTCGATGTTAGCAATTGAAGAGTACAGCTTGGTATCATCTGCAAAGAGCTTAACTTTACATTCATTAGACTGGATAACGTCAGGCAGGTCATTCACGTAGATTAGGAAGAGGGTGGGCCCTAACACACTCCCCTGCGGTACGCCACTCAGAACGTTGGATTCTGTAGATGTCTTTCTGTTAACCATCACTTGTTGAGATCTTCCACTTAAAAAGGACTCGATCCAGTTCAACAGATTACCTGAGATACCGTACGACTCAATTTTCTGTAGCAATCTTTGATGTGGGACAGTGTCGAATGCTTTACTGTAGTCAAGATATATACAATCAATACTTCTTCCACTATCAAGCTCCTTGTACCAAGCTTCAGATACATCGAGTAGTTGTGTGACGCAAGATCTGCCTTTCCTAAAACCAAATTGATTGTCTGTGTACAGTTCATGCTATCCATATGGTCAACTATCACATCTCTGATGAAGGATTCCATCATCTTGCACAAAGTACTGGTTAAGCTCACAGGACGGTAATTACTTGGTTTCCTCTTATCACCCTTTTTGTATATAGGTGTAACATAGGCTTCCTTCCAACGTGCTGGGACTTGACCTTTCGACATCGACAATTTGAACAATTCAGTGAGAGGTTTTACAATATATTTTACAATATATTTTACAATATATATAAGTTCATTCAGAATACGGTTATGTACATTGTCAGGTCCTGGGGATTTGGTCTGATTGAGCTTCTTGATTGCTTCTCTGACAGCAGATTCTGTAAATTCAACGTTGTCCAGGGTTGTAATATTTATTCTCGGATCACATCTAGGAATATTGGCTAAATCTTCTCTCGTAAATACAGAGACAAAAAAATTGTTCAAGGTATTAGCTTTTTCAGTGTCTGTTTCTGCATAGCCACCATCGGGTTTCTCCAGTGACCCGATTGAAGATTTTGTCTTTGTTTTACTTTTCACATATTTCCAAAAGCATTTTGGATTCGTTTTCAGATCTGAAGTTAGTTTCTTTTCGAAAGATTTCTTTGCATCAGTAACTATTCTGGTGACCTCGTTCCTAATCTTCTTGAACTTATCTCTGTCTTGTTGGCTTCTTGTTTTCTGGAAACGATTCCAGGCTTTATGTTTGTCACAAATTACTTTTCTAACAGCAGTATTCATCCATAAGGGTCTATCCTTTGCTCTCGATTTGAATTTAGGCACAAAAGTATTTGTTACTTCATTGATCCGTTCAACAATAGCATTGCAAGTACAGTTTAGCACATCATCTGTATGGGTCACATGTATATCAAACACCTCATTTTCATAGACGAATTTCCTCATTCCTTCAAAATCTCCCTTGAAGAATGCATAGTGTTCCAGGTTGGTGGTTTTACAAGACATGTTCGACACCAATACTTTGAATTCAAGTACTAGATGGTCGCTCTTGCCTATTGGAGAAGAGGTAACCAATGATTCAATCATGTCTTCTTGGTCAGTAATAATAAGATCCAAAACATTCGATGTTTGTCCTTCTCTCATTCTAGTTGGTTCAGTTACTAGTTGTGACATGTATAAATCTTGCAGGGTATCTACAAACTCATAAGAAAAACATGTATCTGGCCCAGTTGCTGAAGGGATATTCCAGTTTATGTGTGGAAGGTTGAAGTCTCCCATTATAACAATTCTGTTGTGATGCAGACGATCTATTTCTTCAAGGAGTTGCAGTAAAGTATGATCGTTATCGCTGTTGCTGTTTGGACTTCTGTAAATACATCCTACTAGTGTTTCTTCGGATCCGTCACTAATTAAACACCAAACATGTTCTTCAAAGTCAATACCATCAACAGCAAAATATCGAGACTGTAAGTTTTTCTTGCAATATATCGCTACTCCTCTATGACTTTTGGATGGTAGATATAGGTCATATCCTTTCAACTGAAGTTCAGCTTCATCAACTGGAAGAAGACAATGTTTTGGATATATTTCACACAGTGCTAAAACATCAGGATTCGCAACACTCAGTCTTGCTTCTAACTCAATTCTCTTATTAAGAAGAGAATCCACATTGCTATAAATAAAAGACAGATCATCGATTCTCCTGCTTTGGTTAATCTCCTTGTGAAAGTTTTCTTTTGCATGGGTTTTGCTATGTACATTTTGTAAGCAAGACCTTTCCTGACTACTTGTTCCGAAAGGGCTGTGAGCCTCCCGGAGAGTTATCTTTTGTAGAGCTTGGCATGTTGTCTCTCCATTTGACTAATCTGTCGTCACGGATGAACCAATTTTTCTCTCCATTACTTTGTCTTCTTCTTAACTCTTCAACTAGCTCACGCCTTTTGCTCTTTCCTTCTTCGTCATGTCTGCTTGAATGTACAGATTTTTGAAGTCTCCAGGACCTTTGCGAAGATTTCTGGCTTTCTTCTTTGCATCAGTGGTGGATTGAATGCTATGAAATTCTACCAGAAGGGGGCGTGGTCTAGGTTTATCCTGATCTGCATCTGCATCTGATGACCTCTGTCCTAAGCGTCATAGTCGCTTAACTTCATAGGTCACCTCTAGGTATTCCAGTACTGCTCGAACGTTAGCATTATCATGATATAACCTTTCACTTGGGTCATCGGATCTGTACTCGGTCATATCTTGTATGATGATGTTCCCCTTCCTCTTCTCCTTCTCTTGCTGTTCCTCCATGACCTCATGGTTGCGTCATGTTCCCCAAAATCGCGACGCACAGTACCGTCATGGCCGCAAAATGTCCGTCACAATACTGACTCTTATGTGCGTCATAGTAAGTCACTTTACCACGTTGCGTCATTTGGTGTGTCAATGGGACCGTCACTTTCTCCAAGCAGAAGTGTTTCTCAAATGTGCGTCATTGGCTAGTCATTTTCATGTGTGTCATATGTTTGACTCAAATGTGCGTCGATGGAATGTAATGGTGTGTCACTTTCTGTGACGGAAGGTGCGTCATGGTATCAAAATGTACGACTCACATCGGTACAATGACGCACCATTCCCGGGGGTCAAGAGGTGCGTCTTACAAATGACAAGTGCATAAACCATGTTCTTATCTTCTGAAATGTTACTTCAATATGCTTCCAACGGCGCAAATAGAAATGAGAAGTTAGTCTACTGTATGACAGTGGATTTGGTCACACTTTGTGCCATTCCATTCCTTATTGCTTTCAGGCAGTTGGGTGTTCACAGTTGTTAAAGGACAAGTCCACTCGAAAAATAACTTACTTTCAATAAAAGCAGAAAAATCAGACAAACCTATCAAAAAAAGTTTGAGCAAAATCGGAGAACTAATAAGAGAGTTATGAAGTTTTGAAAAAGTATGTAAAACTATGGAACAATGAGAATCACATCACAAATTGCCAAGATGGTTATCAGTTTGTGACGTCATGTCCTCACTATTTATTAATTGCTTTATATAGTTTAATCCCATTAATTTCCCTTTTAATTTCCCAAAACTTGATTTCCCCATGCCTTTGCCCAGGTTATATGATTTGTATCATATTGCGTGCATGACAATTCACAAAATCTTTTATGAACTTTGAAGAATTCATACTATTTTCTGAATGTTGTATATTCATAATTATTGATTTTTATATAAATTGTTTATCAAAATTCACATTTTTCATGATTTAACTAGAAAAAAATTACTCTATATTGGTGCATCCACACAAAAACATATTACTATCAATCTAACTTGGATGCTCATGGTGTGAAGAAATAAGATTCTTAAAGGACAAGTCCACTCGAAAAATAATTTACTTTCAATAAAAGCAAAAAAATCAGACAAACCAATCAAAAAAAGTTTGAGCAAAATCGAATAACTAATAAGAAAGTTATGAATTTTTGAAAAAGTATGTAAAACTATGAAACAATGAGATTCACAACACAAATTGCCAAGATGGTTATCAGTTTGTGACGTCATGTCCTCACAACTTATCAATTGCTTTATATAGTTTAATCCCATTAATTTACCTTTTTATCCCCCAAAACTAGATTTCCCCATGCCTTTGCCCAGGTTATATGATTTGTATCATATTGCGTGCATGACATTTCCCAAAAACTTTTATGAATTTTGAAAAAATTGATACTATTTTCTGAATATTGTATATTCATAATTATTGATTTTTATATAAATAGTTTATCAAAATTCAATTTTTCATGATTTAACTAGACAAAAATTACTCTTTATTTGTGCATCCATACAAAAACATATTACTAAAAATCTAACTTGGATACTGGTGTGAAGAAATAAGATTTTTAGGGTGAAAATAGGAAATTTATATTATCAATATAAAGAAAAAAATAAGTGGATAGTGAGGACCATACGTCATAGACTCATGAGTGAGTTGCCAATTTGTGTAGTGATTTTCAAAGTTTTTCATGTCATTAAAAATTCATAACTTTCTTATTAGTTATCCGATTTTGCTCAAACTTTTTTTTATTGGTTTGTCTGATTTCTCTGGTTCTATTGAAAGTAAGTTATTTTTGGAGTGGACTTGGGCTTTAAGGAGAAAAGTTTTTCATGTCATTAAAAATTCATAACTTTCTTATTAGTTATCCGATTTTGCTCAAACTTTTTTTGATTGGTTAGTCTGATTTTTCTGTTTCTATTGAAAGTAACTTATTTTTTGGAGTGGACTTGGGCTTTAAGACAACTTACCTGCTACGATACTTGCAACTTCTTTCCAGGTTTTATCTCTTCCGTCAGGTTGATCTAAATATAAATGATGAAAACATAACTGCATCTTTATCAAAAACATGTATTCATAAGATTCATAAATGCAGAACCATATTGACACATTATAGGTTTTCATATGAATGTAGCTAAATGTAATTTAATCAAAGAACCAGGTTTTTATTTGACAAGCTTCCAACATACAACAATAATAATCTAACTCAAAAATAAGTAATAATAATCTGGATTTATATAGCGCTTAATACGAAAACCCTTTTTTTTAAATTTTGTTATTATCACTCTGTCATTAGATTCATTAATGCACAATATGCACCATCTTTACTCCCTTGGGAGTATCAATATTATATGGCAAATGTGAGGGCATATGGCAATTACTAACACAAAGGCTTACATCATCCTACCAGGTCCCCTTTTCTCTCCTTGGTATGGAGTGGCAAATGTAGATTTAAATGCCTTGACAATTGACATAAGTGCTGTGTTGGCGAATCAAATCCATGACCTTTGTTTTTCAAGTCATTGAATTACAACACCTCTATCCTTGAAAACATGGGAAGGAGGGGATGGGGGAGAGGAGGGGAGAGAAGGGGAGAGGAGGGGGAACATGGTTAAGGGTAGTGTGTGAGTGAGGGGTCCTGTCATCTTCTTTTCTAGTCCTCCCCACTTGTTCTCTTTACTGTTCTTTTTTTTTAAGGGGGGGGGGGGCACACGACTACCACTACACTACTGTGATCTACACCATCTGTGATGATAATAACGCAAACGGTACAAAGGTCATGTGCAGTTAAGTGAAAAATACAAGAGCATTCACATTGTTACACAAAAAGAAATCAAACAAAGTACTTTTTTTTACTCAAGTGCAGTTATATATATATACCATGACTTGCATTTATCACTGTAATATTAAATATCTAAAGATGAATGTCTGCATTAAAGTACAAGTCCACTCCAAAAATAACTTACTTTCAATAGAAGCAGAAAAATCAGACAAACAAATCAAAAAAAGTTTGAGCAAAATCGGATAACTAATAAGAAAGTAATGAATTTTTGCATTTATCACTGTAATATAGTCCTCTTGTGAAAGAAACGTTGTGGAATCGATCAGAAAAGGTTGATTATCTAGCATAATAAGTATTGGTGTGTACTGCAAGGTTCTGGAATCATTGAAATGATAAGAAATTTGGCCCAGGCTTGGTAAAGTTACACGCACTGCACACAGAAAGATGTATATGGGACTACACAAACATGTGGCATAAATATCTGTCCTGATTTGTATGATGTTACATGCCATATTTAGGATATTAAGGCATTTGAAGAGCAGCTTTTCGGAAAACATTTCTTATCTGATGTTCTTCCACACTTGCATAATAACAATGATAATGCTCACAAATTATTTTCCACCTCTTCAAAGAACTCAACCTTCTCTTTATAAGGACCAGTGAATAAATACAGAGAGAATAAAGAATAACATTAAAACAAGAAACAGAATTCAAATCAGACTTTGCATTCCATGCGAGCGATTTTCTATGCTAGCGCATATGGGTGCATCGTGTTGTGTATAATTGAGTGACATGTATCTGGTAATATCAAGGTGGACTTTCCTTTTAAGCATGCAATAAACAACATAATCACTTTACAATCCTACCTGAGGGGTATGCATAGCAGAGGCAACAGCAGATCAGTACAACAAAGCCACCCAAGAGAATGAATAAGACCATAAAAGTATAGAAACCACCTTCATATATCCTCTCAGATTTACTCCCCTGTGGATCACCTGGCATGGGAAATGTAATAAATTATGTACAAAATGATCTTTTCTTTTGAGTCACATTTTTATGCACACAATATTTGAATTGAATTTATTTCAGTTCATTGATAATATTCACAGCACTGTAATCCAATCAAAAGACTGACACAAACAAAGTTTACATATTTGATTTACTTAGAATTATATGAAGTATTTCAGTTCAAATTGATAATGAACAGAAATTTTAAGAGAAAATATAACATTAAATACAAATATTTTCTTGATAAGGCCTAATATCATATATTAGAAAGCTTAGACAGATACCGAGGGTAACCCGACACATGCTCCGCCGACGATTGCTCCGCCGACATTTACTCCGCAAAACGCGACAATTGCTCCGCGACATTTGCTCCGCGACATTTGCTCCGACGTCAAATGCTCCGCCGACAGTTGCTCCGCCGACAGTTGCTCCGCCGACAGTTGCTCCGCCGACAATTGCTCCGCCGACAGATGCTCCGCCGACAATTGCTCCGCCGACAATTGCTCCGCCGACAATTGCTCCGCCGTCAATTGCTCCGCAAAACGCGACAATTGCTCCGCCGACATTTGCTCCGCCGACATTTGCTCCGCCTGAAGCGACACTTGCTCCGCCGACATTTGCTCCGCCGACAATTGCTCCGCCGACAATTGCTCCGCCTGAAGCGACAATTGCTCCGCCGACATTTGCTCCGCCGACATTTGCTCCACCGACATTTGCTCCGCCGACAATTGCTCCGCCGACAATTGCTCCGCCTGAAGCGACAATTGCTCCGCCGACATTTGCTCCGACGACATTTGCTCCGCCCAAAAAGTGTCCCATAAACTACAAATGCTACTAGTACTACGACAAATGCTTCGCCGACAATATTTTCTTTACACCTATTTTTTTCGTTTCTTTTTTTCTTCTTCATTTTCTGAATGCATTTCTTGAAATAATGTAGATGAAATGAAATGAATGAATGTTGATGAAGTGGGATTAAAAAGGAGTTACCTAAAAGTCATTTCGAATATACTGAAATAACTTTCCATCTATCACTGTACGTCCCATATAATGTATACTAAACACTCATTACATGTCGTGGGAAGTTTTTAAAAAAAAGTAGAGCAGCAAGCCACATTCCCCAATACGCGCATACCTCCTAGTTAATTTCAAATAGCTCATCAATATGTAATACCTGAAATTACCTCGATCAATGCATCTTACTAGGTAAAGCATTATACAATGTAATAGGTCATCATGGAAGTTTAGAAAATAAGTAAGGGGGATTTACCAAGTGTTGATCTTTTTAAGAGTTTTATAAAGAAACAAAAAGATATTGAATATTTCTCAGCGAAAAAAAGGAACAAGCTTGTTTCGCATTTTAAGAAATGGCGATTTGACTTATGATACTCATGTTGATTTAACTTTTATTCCTGTGCCCCCTCACTCCCCTTTATGCACTGGAGTTCAAACTATGATTTATATGTGTACAGTGTATTTTTTTTTACTATAATGTTTTTTTTTTATAACTTTCTTGTCCTTTCATTATTGTTAGTTGTTCTTATACATATTGGTTTTTTTGTTTGTCTTATTATTACCAATGACTTGTAAATATGTAATTTTTATATGATTGAAAATTTAATAAACACACAAATATTAATAAAAAGTTTAGAAAATAAGGGCACTTATATACGTAAGGAAGAGAACCCATTCAGACGGGAAAATGAGATGGCAGCCTTTCTGCTTATTCACATTTATACAAATCATTTTGTTGCAGTTTGATGTTAGTTCTTCATGATAAGCCAATTGCTCTTCTTCCGGTGGCTTCGTGAGTCCCTTAAATTATTTAGTGAAAACAAAGTACTCGAATGAAACGGAGTGTTTTGCACACTGACATATATATATATTAAAGCTACATACACTTAACTAAAGGAAAGAAACCTTTAGAAAATGGACTGGATATTATTGAAAATATTATTCTAAACAAGAATGTACTACATGATTGTATTATTTTACGTTTCAATTTCACGAGAGAAATAGAACTCGAGAGGGGGAGCAGAGAAGAAGTGATGGAAATGAAAGAAGACTAATAGCATGAGAGGAAAGAAAAGAGCAAAGAAGACAAGAAAACGGTGTAAACAGGAAAAGGATCGAGGAGCATGGGAGAGAGAGAAAGAGAGAGAGAGAGAGAGATAGCCTTGAGCTTTGGATCAGCTAATGAGTTATACATGAAACAGATTTTGAGCGGAGTAATTATCTTTCGCCGGAGAACTTGCGTAAGGAGCTATAATTTTATTTTTTATTTTTTTAAATCAAACATTATGGGGAATAGCAAAAAACGGTTGTCTTTTTTGCTCTTTTCTTTCCTCTCATGTTATTAGTCTTCTTTCATTGAGGTAATTTCAGGTCTTACATATTGATGAGCTGTTTGAAATTAACTAGGAGGTATGCGCGTATTGGGGAATGTGGCTTGCTGCTCTACTTTAAAAAAAAAAACTTCCCATGACATGTAATGAGTGTTTAGTGTACATTATGTGGGACGTACAGTGATAGATGGAAAGTTATTTCAGTATATTCGAAATGACTTTTAGGCAACTGCTTTTTCCTCCCACATTATCAACATTCATTCATTTCATTTCATTTACATAATGTCATGAAATGCATTCAAAAAATGAAGAAAAAAAGAAAGAAACAAAAACAACCCGTGAAAAAAAAATATTGTCAGCGAAGCATTTGTCGTAGTACTAGTAGCATTTGTATTTAATGGGACACTTTTTGGGCGGAGCAAATGTCGTCGGAGCAAATGTCACCGGAGCAAGTGTCGCTTCATGCGGAGCAAATGTCGTCGGAGCAATTGTCGGCGGAGCAAATGTCACCGGAGCAATTGTCGCTTCAGGCGGAGCAATTGTCGGCGGAGCAATTGTCGACGGAGCAATTGTCGGCGGAGCATATGTCACCGGAGCAATTGTCGCTTCAGGCGGAGCAATTGTCGGCGGAGCAAATGTCGGCGGAGCAATTGTCGCGTTTTGCGGAGCAATTGACGGCGGAGCAATTGTCGGCGGAGCAATTGTCGGAGGAGCAATTGTCGGCGGAGCATCTGTCGGCGGAGCAATTGTCGGCGGAGCAACTGTCGGCGGAGCAACTGTCGGCGGAGCACCTGTCGGCGGAGCATTTGACGTCGGAGCAAATGTCGCGGAGTAAATGTCGCGGAGCAATTGTCGCGTTTTGCGGAGTAAATGTCGGCGGAGCAATCGTCGGCGGAGCATGTGTCATGGAACCATACCGAGATGTGATTGGTCCAGAGCTCGTCACGATATATCAATTACGAGGATCCAAATTGTTATATTTTCCTGGCCGGTCACTTTTCGGTGTCCAGCTGGTGAATGAATTAGTTCTAATCAATGCATGTCGCCCTCATGAGGACTGTATGTCAACAATTACACACATTACACCATTACTGATCATCTTTTTTTTCAATATTTTTTTTCATGAATTTTTTTCCCCTTGAAATTATTTTTTCTACATTTTTTTTTTCTACCTTGAAATTCAAATAATTTTTCCCCAAATTTTTTTTTCTTGAAATATCTCAATATATTATTTTACCTAAAATTTTCTTTTGCACTTCTTTTTCTAAAATTTTGATTGTCCGAGAAAAAAAAAAAACATTTTGGGGCAAAACAAAATATGGACCCCCCCCCCCCCCCCCCCCCAAACAAACAAACAAAATATATCAAACCAAGGCTATCTAATATAACAGTTATTGACTGGCAGGGGGTATATATCATTCTTTCGGCCTGAAGGGAGTTTTTCCCTCGTGACCATATTTTCCCTCAGCGCAACCACTTGGGAAATATAACCCCCTTCAGCGGTCCAAATAATATTATATTACACCCCCTGCCAGTCAATAACTGTATAATACATACATTCAGATATCCACTGCATTTCACCAAGCTACCTGATCCATAATGAACTTGACAAGTCTCGTTCATTATCCCATTGTGACTCAACTTGGATTGCATATTCACTAATGAACTCACAAACATGAATAATGTATGGCTTGTCAATTACACTCTGTATTGGGCAATAGGCCTGTTCACACATAACAATTAGGGCAATATAGATCGCGTTTCAAAGATCAAATTTGTTTTTGTTAGGGGGGGGGGGGGAACGACTGTTCACATACAGTGAGAATTTCAAAGAATAACAAATAGACCTACTTCGGGTGTCAACTGTGACTTCTTCAGTAGCTGTAGTTGGACCATGTGTAGTCAGAACCTGTGTAGTAGGGGTAGAAGTAGACTCTATCCATGGGCACTCAGTAGGAGCATGGGATGGCGGATCATCCTGTATTGTACAGACCGTATTGCTGGTATGGCTGCAACGGGTCACTATTGTGTTATTCTTTATATCATCACATTCTGCGCACAGTATGCACTCACAGCAGTTGCTCACATCAGGCATGAACATACGATCGCTGCATTTTTGGCATCTGAGAGGTTTGTAGAATGAAGATAAAGTAAAATATGGAATAATAAGAACAACAACAACATTTTTTTATATATAACACATAGGCATACCAGTAATGCATGTCACTATGCGCTTGAACCACGTGAAAGAAACTTATGTCCAATTCTGTTTGCCACATGTGCATTTTTGCACAAAACAATCAATATGATTGCTTTGTGCAACACAATGGCTTTGCAAAATTACCAATTTTCAGCCTTCATTAGCTCTATGACAACAATTTTAACACTGATATAGATTAATCTTGTGCTTGAACCAGTTAAATATACAAGCCTAAGTCCACTTTCGAGAATACCACCCAATGGCTTTACAAAATTACCCATTTTCAGCCTCATTTAATTATGACAATGGTTTTAACACCGATATAGATTAATCTTCCATACTAAGTTTCATTGACCTGGGTATAAAATTTGCGATTTTGTAAAAGTATGATTTTGGAGAGTACTTTTCGCAAACTCGGTCAGTGGTAGGGTATATATCTTTTTCATTTGCTAGAAAGGGCTCATCTTGAAGTACAGTATTTAAATCCCCCAAAAAGGGTATGGTTTGGGCCAGCCACGATGGATCTACTGCCACAGAAAGATAGCCATTTTCAGAACTTTAGAGGGCGCTATTTATATCAAGCATGACCATTGGAGCGTGAAATTTGGCAGGGCTGTGTGCAATGACAGGGTTAAAGGTGAAATTCAAAGAAAATCACAAATATGTCAACTAATGTATCACTAGAAACTGGTAAGCTAACATATGGCCATCGTACAAGTTTTAGGTCAACTTCATATCGGGTGATTTATAAAAATAAAAATACAACCACCTCCATAGCAGCTGGGATATACGAGAGATTCGCCGGAAAAATAACGATGCTTTAATGACGTCACTATATGGACCAGTACTGCCCAAGCAGACGACATCCCATAAAGAATGAACATATTTGCAAAGCTATTATTTGTCAAATTATAATGAGTTTAGTGTATATAAATGTAATGGCATGTCAAACCATACAAAAGGGGATATAATATGACCCGATTCTGATAACTAAAATCTTTTGCTTGTAAATACACAGGATAGTGATTAATTAACAATCAAAGAAACCAGACTTTCAAATAGAAAACTCCCCGGAATGGTACTAAGGACGGCATTTGTTCCCTCTTGAACCGCCGAACATACCGCGGTGGGTGCAGCTGAATATACAATGGCGTCTTATTTTGTTTATAAGCGACAGATTCCTTAATTTTTGTATCGCTGCATTTGTCATCAAAATGAGGCAATAGATTATACATTTAGCCTGACGGTAGTGAAGTAATAGAAAGAACTCAACAGAAGATGAAAACACAGGCACTGGAAATGTGAGATGTCATGGGACATCGTCTTCTTGTGCAAATCATGTCCATACTGTGATCTCACACATCTCAGCAGCGTTAGGAGAGCTCTTCAGGTGCTATGCCGGGGCTGTATTTAAGCGTTTTGTAATTTATAATAATTACTACTTCGAATGTTTCCAAGCATTGAATTTTGATTACCTTGTCGAATCAAAGTTTCAACTTTGCAATAATGAAAATAAAGTTAGTTTTTAAAATCAATGAATATCTACTTTAAGATACTGTATAAAGTTTGAGGCAAAATGGAATTGGTATGAGAAAGTTTTGACTTGTAACAGTATCATTATCATACCTATTGTTCTCTGTCTTGAAGAAGGCAGGGCAGCATTTCCCTTCTATAGGATCATGAACATCTTTTTCTGTTGTGCAATTATGGTTCTGTATTACATCAGCTGGACAATCGTACCGACACTGTTGAAGATTTACAATCATATTTCATATAATTATCATATTTTACAATATCTTGGTATAATCCTGGAACATCTCAATATATTATGTACTACAAAATGGGTGTCCTCTCTGTTAAAAATAGCTCTACATGTATGTCAATGAGAGTAGTAAGTATTCAGTGGGTCAATCAAATCATACAAACCCATATATCGGATACAATAAGATGACGATAGCATGTCTGTATGTACAGTGTACTTAATAATAATAATAATAATAATAATTTATAATAATTTATACATTGTACTTGTCTTGCTTTCCTCAAGAGATTATCTTTCCCTAAAAATATGATTTACATGTAATTATTTTAGCGTCTGTGTATTTTTTCCTCACTTCGTTTTTATGATTGTGTATAAAGCATTATGGCTTAATCTTGATTCTATAGCACCCCCTAAATAAACCCCTCAAAAAGGTTTTGAAACTCAAGTTTGATTTATTATATTTTTGTTGTCATGGGTTGATCATTGCTAAGTTAGGTATCATTAGAAGCTATGTTCATTTCTCTTTGAAATGATACCAGATTTGTTATGATTTTGCAGCCATGGCACGAGCAAGAAATCAGATTAAGGGGCAGGGTCAAAAGTGAAAAGTTGCAAAATGCACTGGTATGTTTAATAATGTAGCACACTACACAGCAGTCCTACACTCTTCTAAGAAATAAGAATGCACAATCAAACAAGAGCCATGCACATTGCAACTTTTCACTTTCGACCTTGCCCCTTATTTTGATGCGGTTCCATGACTGAAAATTCATTAAAAAATGGAATATAATTTTAAAGAGGAATGCATTAATGCACTTTTTTTATAATACTCAACATAGCAATGAGTATGCCATTAAAAAGAGATATAATCAATCAAACTTGAGTTTCCAAACTTTCTTGAGGGGTTCATTTGATTACATGTCAAGTTCATTACATCATTATATCGATGCAAGCATCTTATATGTAATCCCATGTAGTATGTTATACAGAAATACTCACTGCTTCAGGATCACTATTGCAAGCAATAGACGAATCAGTCAGAGCCATACAGCTGATAAATAGGCCTTTCAACGCAATGACCTATATGTGAAGGGGATTAGAGAGAAATAAAATGTAAATGCTTTGAATATCAATTACGGTAAATGACTTTCTATGTACAGTATTGTAGCCTGGTGAATATTATAAACATAATCATGTACATTGTGAAGGCCTACAGTACAATAGAAAACCCATTGATATTTAACACTATTGTCAAATGCACTTCTGATGGGCGCCTCAAATGGAAATCCCACCTTGATAGCAAACAACTCTAGAAGAAAGCAAAATAATCAGAAAAGAATACTGGTGAAGGTTTGAAAGAAATCAGACATAATACACCTTTTTCATTCTCACGATCAGTTAATTTATATTTTGTCTTTCTCTTTCCCATGTCAAGACAGCTTCATTTTCATCTCCCTCTGATCCCCTCCTCCTTCTCAAGTTCCCATCCTTCCCTCCTTTCCTCTTTTTCACAACTGATCCTCTCTTGCTCGATCATCCTTCCTTCCAAGTTCCAGTTCTTGCACTTTTCCACCTTTTTTCATGTATTACACTAGACTGCTTTGTATAATCTTCTTTTCCATCCCCATTTTTACTTTCTGCTCCATTTTATTCTTCAATTCTTTTTTTGTTTTTCCAAATAGGCACTTAAATCCACTCCAGCAAAGCACAGAGAGTCAATGCTAATGTGTATTGACCTCTAGCACTGCATACTTGCTGTGAGGCAGGTATTATTAGACCTATACACAAATATACACACCACACAGTGCCGTTGCGGCTGTAAGCAAAGTTTGACAGTAGACTTGCAATTTTATAGGGATTGATATCAATAACCGATACCGATATGATCGGGATCGTGATCGGCAGTTGTCAAAATGGACAGTTGTCTGTGATATTCTTATCGTTGTTTCGGAGGCCGTTGTCGCCTAATTAAAGGTGTTTTAATCTCCAATTCCTGTCTGATCTCTTGTCATTCCTGTACTTATAGTGAATCCCCTACAATTTGAATTCATCAGTAGGTTGAAAAAAATGTATTTTACTGCTATTTAAGTGTCATCAATTGTCACTAAAAATCCGATTTTTAATGAAATCAGTTGAGTTTTGTACAGTGGTGATTGAATAGCCCGGCAGCCCAGAGCACTTTGATCAAACGAACGAGGTACCAATATCTGAGTATTGGAACATTTGGGGAAAGACCTAGGATATCCAAATGTGGATGTCTGCCGGGGTCCCTCTGCTGCATGTGGCCCCTGGGGCCAGTTGAGAGGGGCCCAAAAATGCTTCTGATCAAACGAACGAGGTACCACTTGAAACCAGTGTTAACTAAATGCATGAATGCCACAGAGCACGGAATGGCCCATGCCAGACAAAATTTCTGCTGCAAAGGGCCCGACAGACACCCCCAAAGGGGGCCCCCTAAAAACGCATTTGATAAAACGAACGAGGTACCACTAGAAACCAGTGTTAACTAAATGCATGAATGCCACAGAGCACTGAATGGCCCATGCCAGACAAAATTTCTGCTGCTAAGGGCCCGCCAGACGCCCCCAAAGGGGGCCCCCTAAAAAATGCATTTGATCAAACGAACGAGGTACCACTTGAAACCAGTGTTAACTAAATGCATGAATGCCACAGAGCACTGAATGGCCCATGCCAGACAAAATTTCTGCTGCTAAGGGCCCGCCAGACGCCCCCAAAGGGGGCCCCCTAAAAAATGCATTTGATCAAACGAACGAGGTACCACTTGAAACCAGTGTAAACTAAATGCATGAATGCCACAGAGCACTGAATGGCCCATGCCAGACAAAATTTCTGCTGCTAAGGGCCCGCCAGACGCCCCTAAATGTGGCCCAAAGCCCATATATATAGCATTGACCCAGATTAAATATGCAAGGTACCACTTAAAATCAGTTTTGAATGTTCGGGTTTATCTTACAGACTACGGAAATTATCATGTTCAATAAATTTCCTCCTGCAAATGGGCCCACAGACACACTGAAAGAGTGGGCCCCAAATGGGCCATGATCATATGAAGGAGAAACCATTCGAATCTAATTGTAACTTAATAGTTGAATGCCACAATGCACTGAATGGCCCATGCAAGACACATTTTCTGCTTCTTAGGGCCTGCCAGACGCCCCCAAAATGTGGCCAAAGGCCATTATTGTATCATTGACCAACGTTTAATATAAAGGCCTACTTTAGGTACGAATCAAACTGATTTGGAAGGGTCGGATTCATTCTTACAGACTAAGGAAATTACCATGACATACTTATTTTCTGCTGCAAAAGTGTCGAATGACACCCTAAAAAAGAGGAGCCCCAATGGCCCATGAACAAACATAAGAGAAACTACACAAAACCAATATGAATTAAAAGAGCATATTCCACAGAATAAATAACTGCCGATACAAGAGAAATTTTAATCTACATAGGGCCCACCAGATAGAAAACAGGGTGGCTCAATGTGGAACCTGGGCCTAAGGAATTGAACATTAATGTAGATTAAATTTGCCTTGTAACATGACATTTCAAGCAGATTACATTATTGCAATCCTAAATTTGATTACAGAATTAAAATGTGGTGTATACTACTTAATAAATATTCTACCTAAGACATATGTTACCTGATTTTACTCCAATTAACAGCTAACAGTAACATATAGCATATGATACCACACGTTACAGAGGATCTATTACACTCCCTCCTCAGGTCACATGATTATCTCTTTGTATCTCTCTATGTCAGTCCTTTCCTTCTTTTCCCTCTTATCTGCACTCAAACAGAACTTGGAATTAACAAGTATACATGTAGTTCTTTGTTATGCGATATGAAATGTGTTTATGAAATATGTAAATATTGAATTCTTTTTACATTCATTGTCAACCTCAAATAAATGCTCTTTTGGGTGCTGCCTGCTACTGTAGCATACATTTACTTACCTGTTTATAATATTTGACTATTTGATATGATGTATCTTATCTTTTTAAGATTCTCCTGTAATTTCTTATGCTTCCACTGAAATTGGTTAAATGAATGAATATAAATGCCCTACACTGGACCAGCTATTGTTTTTGTTTCTTTAACTATATTTCCTGCTCCAAGCAAACTTTCCAGTATGGAAGAAAAAAAATTAAAGCACACTTGGATCACATTAGCCTCTATATCTGGTTTGCCATCTAATGTTGTTGTTGTTGTTGTTTGTTGTATTTTTGGCATTCAGTCAAATTTGAATATTTACGCCTAGTCTAGTTCTTTAGTTGTGTTGAGGTAGTAGAGTCCTATTAATTCCCAGCTTGGAAACTCTGTGCGCCTGTGCTTCGTTGGTCAACTGCTGGGGGATGTATCATCCCGGCCAACCCTGCTACATGTACGTCCAATCCAATGGGCTGACCAACATAATTATTAACAGTATATCCCATTGATTTTTGTTTCAGCTAGTTCAGTTAGAATGTAGGCCTAGTTGGTTATACTCACACTCTGGAGAAGCGTTGTATAACTCTCATGAAATATGAAGCGATGTAACACATTTCCGATATTTGACTCAAAATAGAGAAATATGACATTCCAACTGAGATTCACTAGTGCACCATCCGGAAGCATTTTATAAGGTAGACATACATGAAAATAATGTTTGCAATGTTTGATAAATTATGGCATTTACTCACTTTCCTATTCAACGTTCAACATAATTGAATAATTCTTCCAGTCTTGCTATAAACCAAATACTAATCAAGCAGGCTCTTGATAATTGAGGGTTACAGGCTTGATTTGTCGAATTGTGTTTATGTCATTCCACCAAATTATTAGCATCTACAAGAGTCTAAGGGCATATGCCTCAATTACAGAGAAGAAATGCTGTCATTAGTTACAATACTGTTTTATGGTTGAACTTTGAAATTGATTGGAAGAAAGTATTCTTCATTCATTGTAAATTGCAACCTGATATAAATGACAGTGTTTCTTTTTCTTAGGCCTATGGCATGAAATGTTGTTCCATACAAGTAATTTTGCTTAGAGCAGCTAATAGCTAAAGAAACTCGAACAATTGCTGGTCCCGTGTAGGGCATAAACGGTCATTCATTCATTTCATTTCAATGGAAGCATCAAATATTACAGGAAATTTTTTTAAAGGACGAGACACATCACATCAAATAGTTGAATACTATAAACAGCTAAGTACATGTATTATGAAGTATGCAGCAGCCAAAATAGAATAAGGGCCCTTATTTGAGGTTGACAATGAATGTAAAAAGTATTCAATATCTACATATTTAAAACACAATTTATATAACATAACACAAGACTATACTTGATAATTCGAATTTCTATTTGAGTGGAGATAAGAGGGAGAAGAAGGGAAGGAATGATATAGAGATACAGAGAGATTATAATGGATTACAATAGATCCTCTGTAACTTGTGGTGTTGCTGAGAAACATATACAATGTATAGGCATATGCTATGTTACTGTTAGTTGTTAGTTGTAGTAAAATGAGGTCACATGTCTTGAGTATAATTCTGATAGTCACCATATTTATTTAGTAGAATATACCATGTTATAATTCTGTAATCAAATTTAGGATTGCAATAATGTAATCTGCTTGAAATGTCATGTTACAAGGCAAATTTAATCTACATTAATGTTCAATTCCTTAGGCCCAGTATCCACATTGAGCCACCCATTTTTCTATCTGTTGGGCCCTATTCAGAATAACATTTGTCTTGCAGCGGCAGTTATTTACTCTGTGGAATGTGCCTTTTTATTTCATATTGTTTTTATGTACAAGTAGTATCACTGATAATTGTCCATGGGCCGTGTGGGGCCCTCCTTTTTTGGTGTGTCTAACGGCCCCTTTGCAGCAGAAAATTTGTCATGGTAATTTCCTTAGTCTGTGCAATTAACCCGACCATTCCTAATCGATTTTGAGTCGTACCTAAAGTAGGTCTTTATAATAAACTTTGGTCAATGATACAATAATAGGCATTTGGCCACATTTTGGGGGCGTCTGGCAGGCCCTAAGAAGCAGAAAATGTGTCTGGTATGGGCCATCCAGTGCATTGTGGCATTCAACTATTAAGTTACAAGTAGATTCAAATGGTTTCTCCTTCATTTGATCATGGCCCATCTGGGGCCCACTTTTTCAGTGTGTCTGTGGGCCCATTTGCAGGAGGAAATTTATTGAACATGATGATTTCCGTAGTCTGTAAGATAAACCCGACCATTCAAAACTGATTTTGAGTGGTACCTTGCATATTTAATCTGGGTTAATGCTACATATATGGGCTTTGGGCCACATTGAGGGGCGTCTGGCGGGCCCTTAGCAGCAGAAAATTTGCCTGGCATGGGCCATTCAGTGCTCTGTGGCATTCATGCATTTAGTTAACACTGGTTTCAAGTGGTACCTCGTTCGTTTGATCAAATGCATTTTTTAGGGGGCCCCCTTTGGGGGCGTCTGGCGGGCCCTTAGCAGCAGAAATTTTGTCTGGCATGGGCCATTCAGTGCTCTGTGGCATTCATGTATTTAGTTAACACTGGTTTCAAGTGGTACCTCATTCGTTTGATCAAATGCATTTTTTAGGGGGCCCCCTTTGGGGGCGTCTGGCGGGCCCTTTGCAGCAGAAATTTTGTCTGGCATGGGCCATTCAGTGCTCTGTGGCATTCATGCATTTAGTTAACACTGGTTTCAAGTGGTACCTCGTTCGTTTGATCAAATGCATGTTTAGGGGCCCCCTTTGGGGGCGTCTGTCGGGCCCTTAGCAGCAGAAATTTTGTCTGGCATGGGCCATTCCGTGCTCTGTGGCATTCATGCATTTAGTTAACACTGGTTTCAAGTGGTACCTCGTTAGTTTGATCAGAAGCATTTTTGGGCCCCTCTCAACTGGCCCCTGTGGGCACATGCAGCAGAGGGACCCCGGCAGACATCCACATTTGGATATCCTTGGTTTTTCCCCAAATGTTCCAATACTCAGATATTGGTACCTTGTTCGTTTGATCAAAGTGCTCTGGGCTGCCGGGCTAGAAATGTTGGGAATCAAATGCACAGCTTTTGCTATACACAGCCAGGATAGTGATGCTCCTACATCATGTATGTGTGCATAAATATGCATGCAATCATTTATTGTTTATACTGATTTATAGAAGATAATAATGGGTTTCTAAAGTTATTTTCCCATAAGTACACTGATACAAAATCACAGAGCATTGTATGAACAAGTGAGAAAAAGTAGCATAACACGTGTTTTCTCATTACCCCTCCCCCTTTCTCATTTGCAACGTGACTGTAATTTGTATAGGCATGGCGAGCGGTCTTCTTCTGCGAGTTATGTCACCTGCACCCCTATCCCGCTCCCGGGCCTCTCCCGATGCCGTGCGCCGGAATTCACGCGCTGTCTGCCTGTTCAACGAGGTGTTCTTCACACACTCAAAACATCACCAGCTCAAATTCAGAAACTCTCAAAAGTCACTTTTAACTGTTTTACTCACCAATGCAACCCCTCTTACAATGTTTCTATCGAACAGGGCCATTTCGTGCAGTTCTTTTCGTGCCGTTCGCGCTTGTGCCTCAGGTTTTTCGTCCAACACCACTATCTACACGTTCAGCATAGCCAATAAAGAGTGTAACCGGTACATACCACTTTCCGTAGAGATCAGTGGTACATACTGGCACCGCACCGTATACCTGCGACTTCCAGACGATTCTTACCGCCTCGGACACGCCCACTCTGAAGATGCGATCCTTCGCCCAATATCTTTTGTAGACTACACAATAATAGGCCATTAATAATATGTATGTTAATATATTTTTTTTTATTTCCTTGCCTTCATTGATTAGTCTCGAATAAAAAGAAATGTAGCAAGATCCAGATCCATATAGCAAGATCATGACAGGATCAAAATTAAATATTGTTCTCATATAGATCTATATACTTCAAGCGATAGCGGCAATATTTTTAACGATTTATTGTCGCAGACAAATTTATCATACTGTTGTAATACGGAATATGGAATGGCTTTTAAGTTTCAATATATATAGGCATAATCTTAATTTTTAAAGTTAGGCAAAACAGAGAGCTGGTAAAAAAGAACTTACGAAAATCACGGAACATTCCTCATTCATTCCTTCAAAAAAATTGTTTATACCTATAATTGTCTCGTATAAAATATAGATGGGGAATGGACACATGAAAAAAGGGAAACTTGTTAGACTGACTGAAGTTTAGACTATTTTATTATTATCGTTGTTGGTTGTTATTATTTTCATGAATGTATACTATATGAGACATCGTAATCCGATGACCCGGGTTCGAAACCAAGGCGATGCGCTAGTGCCCTTTGGGTAAGGCATTTATCCTCATTATCAGGTCTCTCGGAGAGGACCTTAAGCCGTCGGTCCGCTGGTTGCTTACTAACAAGCATTTATGCTTTCTTAGCAGTTAGGTAAAATAACTACCACTATAGAGGGTGCGGTGAAGGGGGATGGGAAACGGGTCGGAAGCTCATTCAGTGTAGAAAGAGGTGAAAGATAATTAACGAGCTTTCTCATCCTCTAGTGTGTCAATATGGAAGAGACAATAATAATATAAGTCAATTTATATAGCGCAGCTACTATAATTATGAACTCTACTGCGCTTAATAATTATGTCATGATTATTATTACCCCGGCTGTGAGCTGAGCTGCCATAATAAGGCGCCATGCAAAGCATTCGAGGAATTTATTCCTACCGGCCGGGTACCCATTTACTTCACCTGGGTGGAGAGTCGCAAATGTAGATTAATGTATTGTCAAAGGACATTGGTATACTATAAGGACAATGGGTAATGTCCCATGAACATTTTATTTAGATTGTAACAAATCTGGAGTCACTTTATTTGCTTGCATGTGCACTCTCCTACTAGGGCGAGATGAGAAAAACAAGTCAATTAATGTGGTTACGGTTGTTCTATATATAGCTTGTTGAATCATTATGATATCATTGAAACATTGGTCGGGCCTATGAAATCACTATACACATGCCTAGAGCTCCTCCCTTTTTCGCGATATGGCATCATAAATTATATCCATTAATTTATTATCTCTCTCTCTCTCTCTCTCTATGTAAATATCATATACAGTAGTTTAAAATCATTCAACCTCGTTAAAGTAGATATTCATTGATTTTAAAAAATAACTTTATTTCCATTCAAATTGCAAAGTTGAAACTTTGATTCGACAAGGTTATCAAAATTCAATGCTTGGAAACATTCGAAGTAATGATTATTATAAATTACAAAACGCTTAAATACAGTCCCGGCATAGCACCTGAAGAGCTCTCCGAACGCTGCTGAGATGTGTGAGATCACAGTATGGACATGACTTGCACAAGCAGACGATGCCCCATGACATCTCACACATTTTCAGTGCCTGTATTTTCATCTTCTCTTGAGTTCTTTCTCTTAATTCACTACCGTCAGGCTAAATGTATAATATATTGTCTCACTCTAAACCCCGTGCATGGTTTTATTTTGATGACAAATGCAGCGATACAAAAATAAAGGAATCTTTCGCTTGTTAACAAAATAAGACGCTATTGTATATCCAGCTGCACACACCCGGGTATGTTCGGCGTTTCAAGAGGGAACAAATGCCGTCCTTAATATCATTCCGGGGGGTTTTCAATTCGAAAGTCTGGTTTCTTTGATTGTTAATTAACCTCTATCCTGTGTATTTACAAGCAAAAGATTTTAGTTATCAGAATCGGGTCATATCCCATTTTGAATGGTTTGACATGCCATTACATTTATATACACTAAACTCATTATAATTTGACAAACAATAGCTTTGCAATTATGTTCATTCTCTATGGGATGTCGTCTGCTTAGGCAGTGTTGGTCCATATAGTGACGTCATTAAAACATCGTTATTTTCCGGCGAATCTCTCGTATATCCCAGCTGCTATGGAGGTGGTTGTATTTGTATTTTTATAAATCACCCGATATGTAGTTGACCTTTAATTTGTACGATGGCAATCTTTTAGCTTACCAGTTTCTATTGATACATTAGTTGACATATTTGTGATTTTCTTTGAATTTCACCTTTAAGAAAAAAAAACCTGCAATCACAATACCATCACTTTCGTTTCCTGATAAACACATTACAGGCCCTTTATTACAGGCAGTTGGTAACTTTTCCTTCTTTATCCATAAGTGAAATAATGACGTCGCTAATAATGCAACCATACTGTGTATTTAATTGGTCCATTAATATTGCCAATCAATTACCCACTGCAGCCTTATTGTGAGTGATCGCTTCCGGTATATCGCGCTTGTATCAACAAATGCTCCTGCGCACCTGCCGCGGTCGATGGGAGTTGGAAGTATGTACACTCCGGCCTACGTTTGCTTTGATTTACTGATTACCACTCGATCATGAGTTCGATGCACTGTAGGCCTACACTAGTGTATAGTGTTGAGTTTAGCGGTTGGATTGCCCTTGTTAGAAATAGCTGTTATTCTAAGGGGTCCAAGCCCCAAAATAAAAAAAAATTAACATATGAACTAACATACTCATAACAAGCAATCATAAAATATAAATCATCATGTGAAATCTATTAAAAGTAGCGGTCTTATCTATAGTAAAAAAAAAATAAAATGAACATAAAATAATACGAACAATATTATAAGAAAACATGAGAAAAAGGTGTGTGAGAGAGAAATATGTATATACATGTATATATTCATCTATTATAACAAATTATTTTATGTTGCTAATCCTCCATTGCGGCGAGAAGCAATATAAACTAGACATGTAATACTTGTTTGGAACAAGTATAGGTGGGCTGGTCAACTAAAATTTGAGACAAAATAGAGCAAAAATAAGCAAAATACTGCTTCAAAATTCTTAAAAAACAATATCATGTAGATTCATTACGTGAATCAAATTCACCTTCAATAGTCGTAACACGCAAATTATGAAATTTCTGACATGAGGCCTTTGATCGAAATTTCACTCTGATGACGTCATCAAAATGAAAAATGGTTATTATTAAGCTTGTAGAAAATTGTCTTAGCTACAACATATTGAAATTTGGAATAAAATCGATCAATATTTACAGAGATACAATCAATTTTCCAAAAATATGCTGACTTCATAATATGCAAATTCGTATTTTTAGTTCCAAGGCCATTATGATGATGTCAGAGTATTTTTAATAGCCAAATGAGACATTGAATCATATCTCCAACTCATTCTCTATCAAAATATGAAAAAAAAATTGGGGGTCCAGGTGCATCCCAAAAGAGCTATAATGGATTTTCTATAGGCATGTTTTTGCCCATATATGTTATGTATTACAAGAGCTCGCGCGCACGGACATTTATCTTGAATGGACGCTCATCTTGTTATTAATGGTCATAAAGAGATGAACATGGTATCAAATTGTTCGAAAAAAAATGAGAAATATCATGAAAGAAAAAAAATGGAGATTCTATGTTGTGTAATGGTGTTACGCGCGAAAACGCGCGCGCATGCGCGTGTGCGCGATTTTTTTTATAAAATGCTTAAAATGGCCTGAAACGTATGCAAAATAAATTTGAGACGATTTTGAGCATTTTAATATTTTGCGCGCGCACTGACGCGCGGACGTACGCGCATGTGCGCGTTTTTTTTATCTGAAATTGACCGGACTGATATTGATCTTGATCATGATGAATATAAAGGAGAAATAACTTTTGGTTATGAAGATATGATCATGAGTTTATTTTCAGAAAATGTCACAAAATGGCGCCTAGATGACGTCATCAGTCAAGGTCAAGGTTAAAAACCTTACCGTTGCTTTGTCCATATGCCCATACATATATGTGCCAAATTTCAATTTATTTGATTAAGCCATTTTCAAGTTATCTTGCTAACAAAAAAAGTGGTAAGAATTAAGAAAAATAAACTAGATTTGTAATACTTGTTTGGAACAAGTATAGGTGGGCTGATCCAACTAAAATTTGAGAAAAAATCAAGGGCATATTTGAAATATCTTATTGTCTCAGCTACAACATACTCGAAGTTCAGCGTAAACGAAGCTAAAACGACGGAGATATTGCTCGCGAAAGACGGAAATGTAGAACCCAGTTTTGAGAAAAAGTAATGTTCCATAGAGAATACACGCAAAATGTGAAAAATTGACATGCCTCCTTTAATCGCAAAAATACGCCACGATGCCTTTGTCAAAATGAAAAATAATAGCAACAACATTTGTAGGAAATGGTCTCAGCTAGATCATATCAAAATTTGAAAGTAAATCGATCGATATTTACAGAGATACAATCAATTTTCCGTAAATATGCTGACGTCATAATATGCAAATTGAAATTTTGAGTTTGGAGGCCATTATGATGACGTCATGAGTTAATTAAGGGTCAAATGAGACATGAAATGGTATCTCCAATTCATACTCTATTAAAAGATGAAAAGAAATTGGGGTCACCTTGCATCCTAAAGAGCTACAATGGATTTTGTATAGGCATGTTTTTGCCCATATATGCTATGTATTACAAGAGCTCGCGCGCACTGAAATTAATGTTAAACGGTCGATTTATTCCGTTATTAATAGTCATAAAGAGACAAACATGGTATCAATTTGTTTGTAAAAATATGTGGAATATTATGAAAGAAAAAAAATGGCGATTCTATGTTGTGCAATAGTTTTACGCGCGAAAACGCGCACGCATGTGCGTGTGCGCGACTTTTTATAAAGTGCGCGATTTTTTATAAAATGCTTAGAATGGCCTAAAACGTATGCAAAATGATTTTGAGACGATTTTGAGCATTTCAAAATTTTGCGCGCGCATTGACATTAAATCATATTTCCGACTCATTCTCTATCGAAATATGAAAAAATATTAGGGGTCCAGTTCCATTCCAAATAGCTATAATGGAATTTGTATAGGCATGTTTTTGCCCATATATGCTATGTATTACAAGAGCTCGCGCGCATGGACATTTATCTTGAATGGACGCTCATCTTGTTATTAAGGGTCATAAAGAGATAAACATGGTATCAAATTGTTTGAAAAAACATGAGAAATATCATGAAAAAAAAAGAAATGGCGATTCTATGTTTTGTTATGGTGTTACGCGCGGAAACGCGCGCGCATGCGCGTGTGCGCGATTTTTTATATAATGCTTAAAATGACCTGAAACGTATGCAAAAAAAATTTGAGACGAATTTAAGCATTTAAAAAATTTGCGCGCGTACTGACGCGCGTACGTACGCGCATGCGCGCGTATTTTGACCTGAAATTAACCGGACTGATATTGACCTTGATCATGATAAATATGAATGAGAAATAACTTTTGGTTATGAAGATATGATCATGAGTTGATTTTCAGAAAAATTCACAAAATGGCGCCTAGAAGACGTCATCAGTCAAGGTCAAGGTTGAAAACCTTACCTTGTTTTGTACACATGCCTATACATATGTGTGCCAAATTTCAAGATATTTGGTTGAACCATTTCAAAGTTATCTTGTTAACAAAAAAGTGGTTCAAAATAAGAAAAATAAATAATAAAGAATAATAAATAAAGGCGATTTTAACAAAAATATAAGGTGGTCTGTATTAGATACAGCCCACCTGACTAGATTTGTAATACTTGTTTGGAACAAGTATAGGTGGGCTGGTCGAACTAAAATTTGAGACAAAATAAAGGGTACATTTGAGATAGCATATTGTCTCAGATACAACATACTTGAAGTTCAGCGTAAACGAAGCTAAACGACAGAGATATTGCTCGCGAAAGAATCCAGTTTTGAGAAAAACTCATGTCCCATAGAGAATACACGCAAAATGTGAAAAATTGACATGCCTTTTTTAATCGCGAAAATACGCCCTGATGCCTTTGTCAAAATGAAATTTTGACCAATTTTATTTGTAGAGAATGTTGAAGACAATCGATCAATATTTACAGAGAAACAATCAATTTTCCGTAAATATGCTGACGTCATAATATGCAAATTAAAATTTTGAGTTTGGAGGCCATTATGATGATGTCATGAGTTAATTGAGGGTCAAATGAGACATGAAATCATATCTCCAATTCATACTGTATCAAAATATGACCCAAAAATTGGGGTCACCTTGCATCCTAAAGGGCTACAATGGATCTTGTATAGGCATGTTTTTGCCCATATATGCTATGTATTACAAGAGCTCGCGCGCACGGAAATTTATGTTAAACGGTCGATCATTCCATTATTAATAGTCATAAAGAGACAAGCATGGTATCAATTTGTTTGTAAAAATATGTGAAATATTATGAAAGAAAAAAAAATGGCGATTCAATGTTGTGTAATAGTATTACGCGCGAAAACGCGCGCGCCGCGCACATGCGCGTGTGTGTGAGCGATTTTTTATAAAATGCTTAGAATGGCCTAAAACGTATGTAAAATTATTTTGAGATGATTTTGAGCATTCAAAAATTTTGCGCGCGCATTAACGCGCGGACGTACGCGCACGCGCGCGTTCTTTGACCTGAAGTTGACCGGACGGATATTGACCTTGATCATGATAAATATGAATGAGAAATAGCTTTTGGTTATTAAGATATGATCATGAGTTGATTTTTGTAAAATTTTACAAAATGGCGCCTAGATGACGTCATCATTAAAGGTCAATGTTGAAAACGTTATTGTGCTTTGTACATATGCCTATACATATGTGTGCCAAATTTCAAGGCATTTGATCGAGCCATTTTCTCGTTATCTTGCTAACAAAAAAGTGGTTAGAAATAAGAAAAATATTTAATAAATAAATAAATAAATAAATAAATAATAAAGGCAATTCTAACGAAATTATAAGGTGGTCTGTACGTTATACAGCCCACCTGATAATAAAGAAATAAAGGCGATTTTAACAAAAATATAAGGTGGTCTGTATTAGATACAGCCCACCTGATAAAAATCCCTGAGAGTTCTCTTCTTCACAAGGACCGGTATCAATTTTGTGTATCTGAAGAAATAAAATGGAAAAGAAAGTGAAAAGGTGGGAATGAGCCTGGATTAAAGAGAAGAAAGGGAAGAGGTGAGAATGAGAAAGAGAAGAAATGGTCTACTGAGTCTAATATACTAGGATGACATTCATTTAAAAATGAAACATTTGAATAAAGTCTTGATTTTTCTTTTTTCATATAATCGTCTCTTAGAAAAGCAACCCTTTTCATAATCATTTCCCCCCCCCCCCAAATCTGTCATAAGCCTATTACAATTTACACTCAATCCTACGATGGAATAGACCTATATATGCAGCAATATAGTACAGAGGCCTACCGTTACCTGAATGCAGTCGTAGGCATTATGAACTCGTTTTCCCTATTATAGCTATCGTTCTAAAGGGTGACCAAAACATATGCTCTTACCCCCCTCCCCCGCCTATTCAGCGGATGGCTGAGTCGTTGCGAAATTTTCCTCAAATCCTGGACCCCCCCCCCCAAAAAAAAAGAAGATTTTACCACCCCCCCCCCCCCCCCACCCCCGTTTATTCAGCGGCTGGCTGAGTCGTTGCGAAATATTCGGCGGGATTTTCACATTTTAACCCCCCCCCCCTCGAAAAAATCCTGCCTACGCCCTCGATTGAAACTGTCTAATATTGTTAGATTTTTAAACTGCTTTGTGGTTTTATCTTTGTTCACAAGTGCAAGCTTTTAAGTCGCTAAAAAGTAAAAGTTAGGTTTGTTGTGAACATGATAACTTTAATGCTTTACCCTTTACTTAAAGATAAAGGTGAGTTCTGGTCATGCGATTGCATTGTTTTGTTTTGTAGTATTGTGAAAGAAATGGTGTGGAATCGATTTGAAAAGGTTGATCATAATGTAGCATACGCCATACGGTGTGTACTGCAATATTCTGGAGTCGTCAGGAAACTTGGCCCATGCAGTCTTGGTAAAAGTAACAATCAAAAAGCACTGTACACAGAAAGATGTATAGCTTATATGGGATTACACAAATATGCTGTGGCATAAAAATGAGGCCCACATTTTTAAGCTTTTACATGTCATATTGAGAATATGAAGGCATTTGAAGAGCCATGCTTTTCGGGGAACCTTTTTTCTCTCATATTCTTCCATATTAATTGTGCATAGTAACAATTAAAACGCTCACAAATTATGTTCACCTCTCCCCCGGGACCTCTCCCCAGAACTCAACCTTCTCTCTAATACAGTCAAACTTGTCTATGTACAGCGACCGCCCAAGGGAAACACAAAAAGTGGTCTTTGTAGGCAGATGGTCTTTGAATAGACAGGTTCATTTAGTACATGTTTCAATGAGAAACCATTTTCAAGGGAAACACAAAAAGTGGTCCTTGTAAAGACAGGTGGTCTTTGTAGACAGGTGGTCACTAAAGCAGGTTTGACTGTACATTGATACATTTTCTACCTGCAAACTTTACTAACTCCCATTTAGTTTCCCGGCTAAATAACCCGCCAAACAATTGATCGCTACTTTGCAATGACGCAGCACTGGTGCAATGACGCAGCACTGGTCATCATTCGCACCATGGTGGTCATTGCGAAAGTAGCGGAAGCGAGACGCTGTATCGGGGATTCCCCGTGACGCGTGATGACCACTGATCACTACCACCAATGCAATGCACAGTACAGTACAGGCATTGCACAAATTCAAAGTGAACACGCCCATGGCCCATTTATACATGTTGAATTTTTGCCTTCGATTTGTTGAGTGTTGTTGGCTGCCAAAGAACCTTTTTTTAGTAAGATACATGTATATATTTTTCTTTAATGTCTTAGTTGTAAAATATGAATGAACCATTTATCTGTAATTTCTTCATGCCCCAAGTAGTGGGACCGTTTAAGAAATAAAACGGAACTTTTTATTTCAAAACATGCCCACGTACCGTACGTCTACTGCATGCACTGCACTGCACTTACTTCTCGTAGAGTCGAGTACGTGTACGTGTGGACGGGTAACGCGCCGTTTATATAGAGATGAGCACATTGCACCGGGAAGCTGAAGTCAAAGGAATGGTGGAATTCTGAAGTCGACATTATTAGAGTCTAAATCATTATGAAACGGTAATTTCTTGGTCACTTTTTAAATCAGAGTGAAGACATTTATGTGTATAAGTGACTAATGTGTAGACCTATACTTTTAGGGATTCTCATGAAATAAGCCACTGCAAATTCACTAAAATGTATGTACTATGTTGCGCAATTACCGTTCATGTGTGTGTGTGTAATGCCTAACCTATATATGTAGTACCTACATGTAGCCTATTATTTGGCCTATACGGAAGTACACAGTGTGTCTATATACTTCTCACCCTCTGTAAACATGTTCAATGACCAGCACAGTGGCAGGCAATGGCTAGACTTATTTCACGAGTAGGCCGACTTTGCATTCCGAATTTTTAATTATTACCATTTAACATAAATCCAACCAAGGTGTAGACTAGTCTAGATCTATACTAGAGTCTAGACTAACCTTGTTTAATATGAGGCCACAAACTGGGAGTTGGACATGAGTAAGTGAAGTCTATTCTGAAAACGATGTTCAACGCATGCATTGTCGGTGTTATATTTTATGTTGGGGGGGGGGGGAATGGGTAACGCGACATATGCTCCGCCGACGATTGCTCCGCCGACATTTACTCCGCAAAACGCGACGATTGCTCCGGTGACAAATGCTCCTCGAACCACAGTTGCTCTGCCAACAGTTGCTCCGCCTAAAGCGACACTTGCTCCGGTGACAAATGCTCCTCGAACCACAGTTGCTCCGCCGACAATTGCTCCGGTGACGATTGCTCCGCGACAATTGTTCCCCGACATTTGCTCTGCCGACAATTGCTCCGCAAAACGCGACAATTGCTCCGGTGACAAATGCTCCTCGAACGACAGTTGCTCCGCCTGAAGCGACACTTGCTCCGGTGACATTTGCTCCGCCGACAATTGCTCCACCGACATTTGCTCCGCGACATTTGCTCCACTGGCGATTTCTCCGCCGACATTTGCTCCGCTGACATTTGCTCCACCGACATTTGCTCCGCCGACGTTTGCTCCGCCGACAATTGCTCCGCCGACATTTGCTCCACCGACATTTGCTCCGCGACATTTGCTCCACTGGCGATTTCTCCGCCGACATTTGCTCCGCTGACATTTGCTCCACCGACATTTGCTCCGCCGACGTTTGCTCCGCCGACAATTGCTCCGCCGACATTTGCTCCACTCAAAAAGTTCCCCGTAAAATACAAAGGCTACTTACGACAATAATTGTCGCTGAGCAAATGTCGCGGAGCAATTGTCGCGTTTTGCGTAGTAAATATCGGCGGAACAATCGTGGGTGGAGCATGTGTCATGGAACCGGGGAATGATGTTTAATAAAGGAGGAAGACCACCCTAATTCAATTCAGCAGAAAATGAATGAGACAGGTTGTTGCTTGTTTGAGCAAAAAAAGATTTAAAGGCACACTGCCATACTTGTAGCTACTTGCTCCCTCTATATAGAAAACTTCCCCAATCGGTGCCTGTTGGTCCCCCATGATCCTCTTTTTCTTATGTTAAATGAGAGCTGAGTTAATGAGATAGCCACCTGTCACATTGACCTCGATGGCTCTCTGTGTGGTCTAATCCCTTCTGGCCCAGTAGTGGTGACGGTCTTTAAAACATAAGAAAGTTTTGACATTTTGAAGTTGTCATGCATCATTGAAATTCTGCTTTTATTAAAACAAACTTTATATTACTATTAGGGTGGAAGTCCCTAAATTTATAGCTGAGTGGGCTATGATGTAGTTAAAGAGTCCCTGAATCAGCTAATGTAGCACAGGTAAATTAAGTTGTAGTGAATGTTTGATCAAACGTTTGATCTTTAATTGGGGCCCTTGAGGCATGAGTAGAATTTCCCCCTAAAATCAAGAGCAGGGTGTTTGTGATTATAATGTTTTTGTACTTATTTTTTTTCTTCTAGATGGGGCAGTATAGAGTGCGGCCCATTTTCGTCATCTTTTTGCTGACATCTTTGGCTAAATGTTCTCTATCCCTGCCCATAAATGACCAAGTACCGGTAAGTACAAATATATGTTTGGGAAAAATACTTATTTTTGGTTTGGGGAAATTTAAGTAAAACTGTCTTATGTTTAATTTATGCGAAGGCTTAATGTACATTATATCTTGTTGAATCCTACTCCTAGATCAGAAATGTTCATTTTTGGAAATAAACATCAAGATTTTTAAGACCACAAAATCTTGCCTGATGCACAACATGGCTTTTAGCAAGAAACAATCCTGCGTCTTCCAGCTTACCCTTAGCTTTAATATGTCACTTTGTTCATCATCATCATCTTCAGGTGGCGCTGTAAAGGGCTGCTGTGGTCTTCACGAGAGAACTCTTTCACCTGCCATTTGTGTTGCATCTTTCATTCCTTGTCCAGACACTTTCGTGATATCCTCAGTCCAAGATATTGGTGGACGACCTCTACCCCGTTTTCCTTCGACTGCTCCTTGCAGTATTTGCTTCTCGCAGTATTTGCTTCTCAACAACTTCAGATCTCCTAACAATGTGCCCAAAATAGTTTAGTTTTCTTTCCATGATTCCCCTTCTGATGGTCAAGTCTGTTCCAATCTTTTCCAGGACCCACACATTTGTCTTTTTATCATTCCATGACACCTGCAACAGCCTCCTGAAGCACCACATTTCAAAGGCATCAACTCTCTAATATAGCATTTCAAATAGAATCCTCTCGTAGCTATTTTCTTGGAGACCTGTACATGCAGATTTAGGTCTATCCTTTCGAGTTTCAAAGAAGCTTTATGAACAGTTCAGTATTACTGGCTCTCTTTGGTACCTCAAAACACCACTTTATTGTTTATATTGATGAATACAATTTTACTTTAAAGTATCTTGTCACAAAATTGCCCCAATTATTGATATTTTTTTTAGTCTTTAAAATAATTGGTAGTAGTACATGTAGAAGAATCCATATTCATTGGGTTTCTGCAGAGTGTGAACTTCACAGCAGGTTGTCTTCTTTGTAAATTGATGTACCTGTATGTTGGTTGTTACTATTATATAAGAGAGGTTTTATTACATTCTATTGGCCTAATCTCTCTCTCTTTTGTCTTTTTATAGTTTCTTATTCAGCAAATCTTATTTCTGACTTAACGGTGATATACAGGTACTCTGCTTTCCTTTTTCTTTTTTCCTTCTAGTATCGCACAGCTCGGTCTATGAGATGTTGTAAGTGATAGTGAGTGGTTTCAATCTCAGTGCATGCTAGCCATACATGTAGCCTAATTACTGTCTCATTCTCCTGAAACTTTTGTTTTTAATTTATCAGTATTTCTATTATTTCTTCATTTCATCTAATCCATGTATTAAGTTTTGGGATCTTCCCCATTTTACAGATAAGGATGACTTTATACCCTATTTCTACAGCATGTTATTGTATAGCCACACACACACTGGCCATGGAACGTTTGTGTTCCATGGCTGGGGATGGAACGTTTGTGTTCCATGGCTGGGGGTGCTGTAGAAAAACATTCCCAGCGTTCCAAATCGGTTTACCCAATACCCAGAGTTTATGTTGAAGAGGTATTGTGTAACAGAAATGTAGTTCTTGGAAACACAATGATGAAGCATCAGGAGAAAATCAGTGACTCATGCTACACCAATTCTGTTTATTCATATGAAATTATAAACTTTAGGAGACAGATTTGGGAAGGCTTTAGAGGTACTTGCAGGTTGTATTATCACTCTTTTGGTTGTATCCCTTCATATTTTGAATTATTATTTTGCATGTTTCACATGGGCATGTATAGTACATACCGGTACTTTCTTTACTTTCATTTTTTTTCAATTTGTAGATCGTTCATATATGTTCATATAGTGTACTTTTACAATACTGGGTAATGAAAGTAATAATAATAATAATAATAATAATAATAATAACTTTTATTTACCCAGGGTAGCATGTGACATGAATGCTTAAAAATGAAACCCTCTAAAATATGCCTAAATATGGTTCATTTTTAGAGAATGTTATTAATTGTGTATTTGCTGTGAAGTGAGACATATAATTACCAACTTGAATAGTTGCTAACTCTGTTATAAAAATATGAATGACACATGCACTTCCATGGTCAATTTAATCAAAAACCTTGGTGTCCACCATAACAACCGTTACACAAACTTTAAGAATTAATATTCTTACTTACATAATTATTATTATTGATTGATAGTGATACTGTATGTTCTCCTTGAAGAAGAAAATAAATTTAGAACAATTAACTTTTAATTGTTTTCATTTTTCATGAGAATGCACAATGCCATATAACATTCATCACCCAGTCCTCTAGGGTGGACACCAAAGGTTCATAATTTAAAAAAATATATATATTTGAATAAAAATTGAACAATTCAATGAATTTTATATACACAATGTGGAAAGCCTTTCTTGTGAAAGATTAGAAAGATTATAAATGAAGTTTTCTTAACAAAATTGTATTTTGTATTTTTCATATAACGCATGTTATGGGTGGACACCAAAGAATTTTTAGAATTTCAAACATGCGCTGTTTTTTTAACTATTACATTTCAAGCTTCATCTTTTTTTAATTGATTTGATCCATGGAGTTCTTCCAAGAAATAAACTGGGAATTGTCAAAGTTGTTCATATAATGTGCATTCATCATGCAGAAGCACCAAATGGAACGCGTGTTACATGGTGGACACCATGCATAACAACTGTTACAAGATGTGAAATATTGTGATTATGAAAAAACTTTGCCACGCAACCTAAGATTTTTAATGACATGAGCATAAATAGATTCAGCACTTACTACCAGACAATAATTGAACATCAGATAGTCATACAAATTTAGAGAATACCCATTACCAGGAACTAGGTTTTTTCATGTCACGTTTTGGTGTCCTAAATAGGGCAAAAAAATGGGTTTCACCTTACATAAAAATTTAAACCAGGGGTTTTGAAACACAACGTTATTTAAGTTATCTCCACTACATATCTGCATTAAGACATGGACAAAATTATCACCATAGAATACTCTTTTATTTTTATACTTGGATCTGAAATATCCATGGTGAAATCTCTCCAGTATCATAAAAATACACTGTAGGCCTACAAGATGAAGGTTAAATTCAAGGAAATATGTTCATTCAGGATTTCAGGTATATAAATGTACATGCATGTTTATGTTATTTAAAAAAAAAATTATTTAATGAATGTCAACACATTTTAAAATATTATTTTAAACCCACTGACAAGCTACCCAATGACACTTTTTTGAATTCATCATACTACACTCCCCTCCACACACACATGCATGCACACTTGCCAATTTTTTCTCTGGCACATATGCTTCATGGATAAAATAAATGTTTGAATCATGCATGAATGTAAAAATGAATAATGTGTTAAAATGTACTGTACTTCATACAATGTACATGAGTGGTGATGGGTCTATAATGATCAAAACATTTCAATTTTAAGCAATTTAAATGTTTGTTTGTTTTCTAGGTCAACTGTTTACTATTTTGCCATGCATGTAATGTACATTGTGTCTTGATTGATTTTACATCAAAGCTCCCCAAATCATGTTGCATTAAAATGCAAAGTTGTTGTTGTTCATAAATTTGAGAAAGATGTGAAATGTTACTACTGTACATGTATGTACGTAGTTCAGGAATTAATACAATGCTATACCTACATTACAACAGCTGTGCGTGTATTAGAGGTTTCCATCAGCTAGGCAATCAAAATAATCTCAATCTGTTGAACAGAAAGCTGAAATCAGACAACATGTACAATTGTACATGTAAGCGGAACAAAAATAAACAGGTCTTTAGTAAGTCTGTATTCACTAGTATTATTTTATCATAACAATTAGCTTTTAGCAAGCAGTTTACTACTACTATTATTATTATTATTATTTCCATTATGTATTATTATTTTTGTTATTACTATTATAATTATTGCTATTAGTACAGCTATCATTATTAGTAGTAGAAGTATTATTATTATTATTATCATGATAACTATCACTCTATTACACCTTTACAGGAGGAGACTAGTCATAACTTGACTGAATATGATACTGCGAGACATGTAGGAAGAACGCTCAAGGTAATTAACAAACTATTCGGTTCCTATCTTTGCCTCTCTGCGCTGTTGCTCGTTTACCACACATGTAAATTGTAACATGCAAACAAAGGCTCAGTGGTAGAGCAGTGGTCTCGTAGCCAGGAGGTCCTGGGTTAGAAACCAAGTCATTGCGCTAGTGCCCTTTGGTAAAGCATTAATCCTCATTACCAAGTCCCTCGGAGAGGACATTTAATTGTTCCACACATTTGCCATTCATTTTGCGGTGGTTACTGTGCTATCTGAACAAGCCTAAATTGATAAAGCTCACTGTCTCCTGTTTAACTGAATCTACATGTACATGTATGTCAGGATGATGAAACATGATATCTTAAAACTACAGGTACACTTTTCATTTTTTCTTTTTTTCAGGCGATTGTCTGGGAACCTTTGTGAGTTTGGTAGAACCCTATAAGGAGAATTTTTTTGTCATTTTTAGGAAGGTTTATTGATGCAGAGCAAATCCTCAGTCCCTATCAGTTTGGTTTGGCATTTGGGCATTCTTTATTGTTTTACATAAAGATCTACAGGAAGATGAAGAAAATAATTTGTTTTCTTGTTTATTTATGTCAGGCGAGTGTTTGGGATTCGTGTGAGTTTGGTGATACCCTAGCGCCCTATGATGAGAGCTGTCCCAATGGAGCCGAGGACATCCTACCATGTAACCCAGGACAGCTTAAGGTTCAGGAATGCATTGGACAAGATCGTGACACATCAAGAATGTAAGCCTTCTCTATTTAATACTGAAAACTTTCATTGGTTTGTTGTCGTACAAATTTAGGAACTTCTACCAACCTTGATACCTACCTTCTACCTACCAAAAGCTTCAAAAACACTCTATAATTTCTGAACTGTAATGGTCACACTTTAAGATGTAGATGTAGACACTTTGAGATGTACATTATTGAATCACATGGTAATCCTAGTTTTGTACATTTAACAAGTTGAAGTTGAATTGAGCGAAAGCAGACAATGAGTAGAATCAGGTTGTTGGAAGTTTTAAAACATTCTGATTGAGGCTAAGAAAATTTAAAATGTGTGAACGTGTGGTTCATGTACAGTTTGTGCACAATTGGCCGTCATTCAACTGTGTTGAGGTTTCATGAAGAAGAAAAAAAATCTTTCATCACTCTGTTTATCTTGAAATAGAAGAGTTATCTGACATTTTTACTTTAAAACATTTTTATACTTGTAACTTTCATATTGATGCTTACCCTATATAGTTTAACCTTTCATCAATCTCTGATTTTTCATGTATGCTGTATTTGAAATACATGTTGGATAATTCACATTATTGCAAGTTTGACAAATATTTGTACTCTGACTAAAGGGACTAAAGGTCGATGTAACAAAAGACAAGTTGACACCTTTGCCATTTTCTTTTCCTGGGCAGGGACATTTAAAATACCAAGTTATCCTCCATGTGGGCCATAGTAGTAAATTGATCATTCTAAGTGCATTGTAGACAGAAAAACAAACAAAATCATTCACACAATTTATTCATGTTCATTATCTTCAATTTACCTGTACTTAAAAAACTGTACAGATGTTCAATACATGTAGTTCTTTCAATGAATTAATTTAACAAGCTTGTTTACAAAGATGTAATGTACATGTACAGGTTTGTGAATATGGACGAGCTTCACACAACAAAATGATAAAATGATTTTGATAAAACATTGTCAATATGAGGGAATTATATGTACACATTTACATGAACATGTAGTTGTTATTTGTATGAAAGGAACAATGAATTCAACTGCCAGTACTCTGAATATGTAAGCCATTGACTCAGCGCACTATTGAAATCTAATGGCCTTGAGTCGTCTCCTTGCCCTGCTTATCGTAGGTTGATTGTATTATTTGTGCTACATGTACACAATGTACGTGCTCGCTTCCAAAGATCACATTCCATTCATATGATTCACTGACACATACAGAATGTATGAATAGAATGGTGGAGTGGAGATGATTAATAAAACCCTTATCGATTGCGGTTAGCATGCATCAATTTAATCATTGTACATGTAATATACATGTACATGAATTGCCACGTTGCATTTCAAATTATTTTTGAATGTTAACGTGAAGGATCATTTTTTTTATTTTCATTAAATTCACACAAAGAAATATACAATATGAATTATATCATTATTTTGTGTTTCTACCAAGTTCATTTAACAGAAAAATGAGAATCATAGTTTGGGTAACCAACAGAGTTAATACAAATATCATAATTCCCTGAATCATGCCAACATTATGATAAGAGGAACAACATCTCATGAAACTCAAGCTAAGAAACAATACATTTCAAAACCAAAATACAACGAGACCTGTATTCATGAGCTAATTGTACCATCTTTTAATGTTTGCTCAGGTGTGACCCGTGTCCCCAAAAGTTCTACCAGAAGTATTATAACAGGTGCACCCAATGTCACCCGTGCTCCGAGTGTGGTCCCAACGAACAGATCAAGCAGCCATGCACCGATGAAACGGACACAGACTGTGAGAGCATTATACCACCGGACCCTGTCCCTACTACCACCCCGACACCGACCACTGATGCCCCAGTGCCAAGTCTTACAACTCAGATTATAGATGAAAGTACCCCTAGGGTACCAGATGCTACTACTACTGCGTCCACTCCGCAAACTACCAGGAAGGGACCATTTTATACTCAATTTCCAACGATCTCAACAACTCAAAACATCTCTGCCCTGGAACCAGGCACAAGTTTAAACAGAGGTAATGTACCTACATGTATGGATGTAATTCAAAAGTATCTAATCTTAAAAAAGTGATGTCATTTGCTACGTTCTAATTTGGTAATCATATTGGTGTGTATTCTTGAAACACTATGCTTTCTTTTATGTTAGCTAGCTCTACAGCCTACTCTACACTACATCAATCTTGATATTCTTATGACATCTACTTGCACTGTGAAACTAACTACAGCTATGCATTTCCTTGTATTTTTATTTTTTATTTATTAGTTTTTTTGTTCTCCTTCAGCAAAGGCCATTATTGTTTGCTTCGCCTGTTCCTTTAGTTTCCCTTTTCCCCTCTTGTAATAAAAAGATAATTTCCGATGTACGTATGCCCATGAAAGCTCTTTCATTGATTGCCCCATAAAAACGTTCATGATGCTGGATGAATTACAATTATATGCTCGTATAAAATTCAACCAATACCAAAACTTCACATTAAGAGGTGCACACCGTCTTATTTCTTGTTTGTTCGATCTTATGTTTGATCCTATATTTGACCTTATGTATGTTTGATCTCACTCTTATTTTTATTATTATATGCTGTATGCATGATTTATTGAATAAAGAACAGATGTATAAGTTGTGTGTTTATTATAAGTTTTGGTAAATATTTTTTTTAGTCAGACTTATGATGCGCTTAGAGATACTGTATATTGTGTATTATTATTATTATTACTTGTACATAATTTATGATTTTGTATGTAAATTGATTATTTTTTCTTCATTTCATGTATTATCAGTTGGTAATTTCAGTGTTTGGTTTTTCTTTTTTCTTATGTAGGGACATCACAAACTTCTATAGGGATTTTGGTATTTGCTTTCATTGCATGTATTGTCGCCAGCATTCTATTTATTCTGCTCTGGAAAACCTGTAATAAATTAGAAAATGAACAGAGGAGAAATAGCGGTAAGTGAAGTAAATTTGGTACATTCTTCCAAATTTTAATAAAATCATATTTTCTTGAGTGTAATACCACAGCCACACCACTAAACCAACTCCGAACCGACTGATAACTTACAAAATATTTGCCATTTGTGGTAATTCAATTGTTTGCCTTAATTGTTGGTCTGGGCCCCATTTCATAAAATTTTCTTTTCATTAACAAGTTACATGAAATATTTGTTCTTTCTTCACAGTATGTAGAAAAATGACCTGTTTGATATTAAAGCTTTCACTTGCTGTGCTGCAAGTTTCCTCAGACCTACAGTATGTCATAGTGAAGCTGGTTAATTTTCTACTGATTGTGAAGAAAGAATGATTCTATTCTAGTTACATGCATCACCAATTAGATGAACCCTGTCAGCAAACTAAAAATTTCCAATACTTGTTGTAAGCTACAGAAATTGTTGGATTTGATTGGCAATGAGCAACTTTGTAATGGGGATGCATGTGACATTTGAATATAGGTAAAAAGTTTTATGAAACAGGGCTTGGGTTTTGGTTCCATTCATATGTCTGTGGTATGAGTTTTTTAACAAGTGAGTGTAAGTTGTTGAAAGGCATCGTTTAACAATGCTAAATCTGAGATGCACGGCCCTACGTGTTATCAGTGTCTGTGATATGGTGTAATATTGAAGCCCTAAAAACATTGCGCTTCAAAATGATCAAGAAGTTCCTCAAAAAATTAAAAATCTTTGAGTGACCAGTTTTACCAAACTCGTTTTCCCCAATAGACTGTAGTGTTATGAAAACAATTAGGAAAACACAAAATTTGATTTGGATTTCCAATCATAAATATCTTGATAATCAGACAGGCGATCGGCTTGTAAAAGTCATGGGGTTCCTGACTGACCTAAAGGTTTATAATTATGATTGCAGCATGAGCTAAATCCAGGATTTTGTTTTAAGGATCTGAGACAAAGTTACCCAATCCCTTTAAAGGGAAATTAAAGGAGAAGTGGATAAACCAGTAGTGATTTATCCACTACTCCACGAGACCTCCACATAGTTTGCAGTTCAAGTCCTGCTGTGGAACCAATCTCCTCTGCCGAGACATTAATCTACATTTGCCACTCTCCACCCAGGTGAAGTAAATGGGTACCCTGTAGGAAGGAATTCCTTGAATGCTTTAGCGCCTTAATTAATATGGTGGCTCAGCTACAGCCAGGGTAGTAAAATGATACTTTGTATTTTAAAAGCGCAGTAGAGTATATTCATTATAGAAACTGCGCTACATAAATAGACCTGTTCCTTTATGTTTTTTAGTACGGAGCAAATACATGTAGTACACCTGTAGATGTTCTTAACAGACAATATGTCACTGAGTTACCAATTCGTAGTTTAATGATTTCAACTTTCTGTTCATTGCACTCCACAGATTTGGCTCAGAGACTGGCATCGCAGAGTAACTCTAGCCCTGTTCCAAACGTGAGGGGGTCAAATAGTGGTCTAGAGTTTGACGGATCATTGGGTGATGATGCAGGGTCTCCAGCAGCAGAGGGGAATAGTGGTCTTGAGCCAGAAAGATTGTTGGGTGATGATGAAGGGCCACCAGCAGCAGAGGGGAGTAAACAAAATGTAGTTGTGGATTGCCCAGAAGATGAAAGAGATCTGTGGAGTAGAGGATTGGATAGTTTAAGATCCCTTCTTCCCCGAAATGTTGTTAAGGACTCAAGGACTCACACAAAAAAAGATGCGAAAAGAAAGCAACGGGTGTCTTTCCATAAAATTATATCAGATCGCTCTGGCAAAAAACCATCGATTGACATTGAGAGCTTACAGCCGGGAGATAGGACTAAATTTCAGAAGCATGAAGGCACTGAAGAGGGGAGACATTTAAGAGATGAAGACGTTCTTCATGGTTCTGGAATTCCTCCGCCAGGCAATAGGAGAGCCAGTGATGATCTTCATCTGGAAAATGAAAATATTCAGCCATCCACTATCACCACTGCAGATGTGCATAACTTGAAAGACCCACAGAGGGCAAGAGAAAGTGGAGACGGTGAGAGCTTGCAGATGGGCGACGTTGTTCGTGATGGTCATGTCTCCCGCGATCCCAATCCAGGGGATCAAGATGACCCCAGAAATCACCACGGTCAAGATAATGATCCTTCCCACCAATCTCCAACTGATGATTTACATTGGCCAGCAGAAAAGGTCCCAGGATCATCTGCTTTGCCACCAAGTAGAACAGATGGGAATGTATCTTCTACCAACATGACACCGTTAGACAATGACGTGCATGGTGATGCAGAAAAGGTCCCAGAAACATTGCAAGAAACAGATGCAATAGGCCCCAACGTAGTGACTGATGCACCGTTAGATAATACTGCACGTAGGGATCATGAGGACAATCCTCGAACCTTGCGCTCGTCGGCCCCTATGGCTGATCAAGAAGAATGGCTAGAAGAACAAGAAGCAACAGAAGCCAACAATGAGTTAGACAAAAATACACCAATTGCAGAAACTGATGAAGATGTCCTGCAGAGGTTGACCGAGCCAGGGGCAACTGTTGACGATAAAAATGACGGAAACGCTACCCCTGCAGCTGAAGACACGCCAGTCAGTGATAATAGGGTATTGAGATTTCTGAAGTTGAGGCCCTCTCAATTCTTCAAGAAGCAGAGGAGGAAAAGTCATGATGACCAACCTGTTCAACAGACACAGCCGTTATTACGAAACAAGGGTAGGTAGAAAATACTATCTTTGTGGTTCTGTTCAATGAAGGTTAATTACGTCTTATGCACCAATAGTTGCACTTTTTTGGTATTCCTACAAATGATTTGGACTTTTTCATACAGTGCTTGTGAAATATCGTTAAATAAACCTGTTTCTTGCTATATCTACATTCTTGAGTTTAAAAACAAAATACACATAAAGTTTCCATGAGAACAGAAACATTAGATATCTTTATATTTATAGATTCTGTTTACATTTTCAGAATTGGTGATAAATTGCATCCGGTGTGCCGTCTTAAGAGCATGTTCCGGTTTTGCGCCAAAAATATTGCTGTTATATTCCATCTAATTTGTTATGTGCCATTAATTCTCCTTACTTTTTTTCCCTTCATTTTAGATCAAATGGTGAATGAGAAGTGTGTAGAATATGTGGCAGATAAATTGAAGCTGACTAAATTGGACAAGTTATGCAGGGAACTTGGACTCAAGGAGACAGAGGTAGAAAACTACAAGTATGAGCTGAAGGGTCAACATTACAATGGCTCGGAACTTGTTTTCAAAATGCTTGTGAAAATAAGAGAAATACAAGGAAAAGAATTTACATATGACAGGTTAGACACAGCCCTTCGTAAGAGTCACAACGCTGATGTCGCTCATGAAATGGTTCGCAAGTTCCTCCGGTAATCGCTCGAGCAAACTTGGACTGTCATATGCTCCAAGAGCAAAGTGCTGCAATCCCTCACCTACTGAGCTGCTAATGTGTGTACTCATTTCGTTCATGAGGTGTGGCGATAGAATGGTTTGATCCCGTGGCAGTGGTTGTGTAGGTCATCATGGGTTTAAGCCTCATCACGTCACTGATTTCTTTTGTAATGGAGGAGAAAATGGAGACCAGGGGAGTGTTTCACAAAGACAGATCCACTTTAAGTTGGACTGCAATATGGCAGGCCATTCATGCCACTGTTTGCTCCCACCATTTACTGGCATTTGTCTCTCGAGGGATATACAAATCATTTATATATTTTTTTTTTAATGCTGCCAATATTTTTTTTTTTGTAATCGTTCAACTCTACTACAGGGTGCACCAAAAACATGTAGCTGGTGTTCAGAAGTGGAAAAAGAATGCTAGCAAATGTAAATTTTGCTCAAAAATAAAATTCATTAAAAAATGGAATTGTAGATGTACATTTACATGACATTTGAAAAAAAATATATATATATATCAACAGCTCCATTTGTGTGAACCTTCACTTGCCTGATAAAACAGCACTGCAAGTGTTTTTAGTTTTTTATTTTGGTAACACACTGTATTGTAATAACTATCAGTCTAAATTCACCTTGCTTTTTTTAGAAAAGACATAAAGAATTCTAGATGATACTTAAGTCAGCATTTTTGTTCAAAATCATTCACAATTTCGCCATGTATAGTCTGGTTATCTAACTGCCGATACGTTTGTTTCATACTATAGTACTGGTGACATTCCAAGATTGAAATCATGCAAAAAATATACTGAAATATATCAACAGCTCCATTTTTGTAAACCTTCACTAGCCTAATAATTATAATAGCAGTGCAAGGTTTTTTGTAACACACTGTATTGTAATATATACCGGTATATATTTTGAATTACTTGTAAGAAATTTATTTTTCATACCTTTGCAATTTCAGTCTTTCTTTCAAACAAATTTAACTTAACCTTCACACTGCTAGATACGGTTAAAGATTCATGTTCTATTTGATACACTAGTTGAAAATTCATTTGCACTGTTTACCTCTCTGATGTATACAGTGTAGTACTATTTGTATGTGTACTGTACTAATTTTCTACTGATTTTTTGTTATACATTTTCTAAATCCTTCTGTTATATGATAAATTATACGATTATACATGTACAGTATATGTTGATAATTCAGCATGAATTTGGCTATTTTAAAAAGCTTCAGTTAGACACAATCTCAAGCTTTTTATTTAAAAACTAGAAGAAAATGATTGAATATGTTTTTCATGTGATTGCAAAGCAAGAAAATGATATCATTGCCTTTATTTTGCCAAGGAAGAAATTATGCTTGCCTGCCATCGATACATATATCTTCAACTGACAAATATCTTTGAAGTTAGTAGTTACTATTGTTATGCACAGTGTATGTTGTCATAAATTTAGAATCTGACATTTTGCATACAGTTATTTCTTTACAGCTTACAGCAAGTTAATTCATTGTCTTGTATGTACTTATTCTAAATAATTGTATGCTACTGGCTTTGTTTGCATTGTAATGAAAAAATGAAAGCATACATTTCTATGCATTATTCTAGGTATTCATGTTGGAACTTGTATTGACCTATTATTAAATGTAGTTAGATAATATTTAGATTATTTACTTACTGGTATTCTTTTATAAACTCATACTGTGCATTTTCTCACTTCCGACTAAAACCATTTACATTATATACACATACTTCTACGCTGGCTTGAAGATGGTCCGTCCCGTACAGAAGCAGGTTTTTTTTATACAGGTCTATGGTACAAAATATAGTGAAAACATTTTTATATTTTAGGGTGAATAGGTGTTTTTGGTAACAGTTATATGATTATGTAGTTGTTTCTTTTGTAGAGGAGAGAGAAACAAGTACAGGTAATATAAAAGTGTGTATGTATATCTATTATAGTTTACATGTAGTTGCACTATTTATATTGAGAAAAAAAGTTATCTTTTAAATGCCAAATCGGCAAGTATTTTCAAAGAATTTTTTAATGAAATTCAACATTTTCTTTCTTTAAACAAAACACCTTATATCATAATTGTTTTTAAAAAATACCGTAGATAATATTTTCTGTGATAGCTGTATTCAAGCATATGCTGTCTTTCATTTTCTGAGTGAGCTGCCAAAAGGATTACCCAACTAAGTACCAAGAACCATGTGCCCTGTTAGTAATAGTATTCACATTATAGCTATATGTAGAGAATATATTGCTCAATATTCTAGTTATGAAGGGCATATACCGGTTTTTGTATTCAGAATTTTTGAATAAAATTCAACATTTTCTTAATCAAAACACTTTATAACAGTTTTTGTTTAAAACCGGTAGATAAAATTTTCTGTGAAAGCTGTATTCAGTATTTTTGTATTCTAACAGAAACTGTCTTTCATCTTTTGATAAAACCATGTGCCTCTGTAAGTAATGGTACGGTACCAGGTATTCACTTTATAGAAAATACACCTCTCGATATTCTTGTTTTGCCAATATTTACTTATAATCGTTTTTATACATTGTATTATGTTTTTACCTGAAAGGTCTGATTCAAGCGCATTCGAAATGCAAATACATAGAAATTATATCATAGAGTATGAAGTTATTATGACTACTTCAATGTGTTATTATGACTACTTAAATGTGTGTATGTGGAGAAATGTTTGAAATTGGCATTTTCTAAGATGAAAGTCCAGTGCATGTACATGTATATCAGTATCTTATATTTACATGTAATTGTATGCAGTATATTTCAACCTGGCAGCTAATTTATTATGTTTGATACATTTTCTTATTGTATAATTATGTTGGTGTATACTTATCAGTAGCTTCAAAAGCAATTAGATATAAAGGTAGCCTAGCAAAAAGTGGCATATAAAGATGCCAGAAATCGAAAGTCAAACTTAGTGCAGTTTATTCTAAAATCATCTCACATCCTATCAGTTATGACAAGATTCTCTTACACATATGTACGAATATTACTTGCTAATTGTTTTTCTGTTGATTTGAATGTGAAAAACCTGTTTGTATTTTCAGTTTTAAATAAAGATGCTGCAAATTATTATTCTAACATGCCATGTATATAATTTGGAAGTAATTGTTATACTGAATAAGTTGATGTGTATCCGTCACCATTCCACTAATTTATTAAGGCCATGCACCCCCTCCCCCTTCTCTCCATTCCATCATTTTAGTTATTACCGTAATGCCTCTCCTTTACTCTTGTTCTTTCCCTCTCAGTGTTCTTGCCCTCCTACTCTCTTCTTGTTCCCTCTTCCCCTCGTTCATTCCTTCTCTATCTCCCTCTCCTCTCTTTCTCTCATCTGGTCTATTCCCCTCTTCTCCTCTCATACCCCCTTCCTCATCCGAACACTCTCCTCCCACCCACCTGCTCCTCACCTCACCTCAATCTTTCTATTTTCCCTCTTGCTCCCATCACTTTTCTCTCACCCTCGTATAAGCTCCTTGCTCTCTCTCTCCCTCTCTATCTTACACACACACAGGCACTCAATCACTAACACTCTCTCCCTATCCCTCCCTCTCCTCCCCTCTCTCTATCTCTCTCTCTCTCTCTCTCTCTCTCTCTCTCTCTCTCTTTCATTCTCAAATCATCAGCATAAAAAAGGGATAAAACAAAAGCCATGTAGAAAATTATGTCTTTTTTAAAATTATCCTTGCTCTTTACTTTTCAATATTTTGAACATTTTCTTGCATTGGAATATGAATTTATGAGGAGTTGAACGACATCTTGAATCACTCTAGCATCACTAAATATTTATAGCGTATTAGAAAATACATCATCATGAAGGCAGTTCTGGCTTTTTTTTTAATCACCACATCTGTAGTTGGGGAGTATTGTATACCTTTAGGTACAATCTTCAATTATCATGGCAGTTCTTTATATTAAACGATCTGATTATACGTTGTAAAATGTCAATATTGACTTTATATGTACTTAATTTTTGTACTTAGTTATTTAAATATACGATATTCACATTGAAACTGAAATCAATAATTTAAGTATGGTAATTAAGATATATTTCATGTTGTGTTCACTTTTCTATTTGACAAAGTTTTTGTTGTTATCGAATTTATGTTTTAACACTATTGGATGCAACAATGATTAAATAAATATTAAAAATGCATGTATTTACGGCGAATCAAAAACCCTTCTTTGTTATCATTTTTGGTCCAACCTTACATTTCATTATAACCATTAGGTAACAGATACGTATTTAGCACACACCCACATGGACAATGCTAAAAAGACGAGTATGACAAAAATATTCAAATTTCATTGGCAATAAGTTTGCAACCCTCTGCCCTTTATAGCAAGATTTATCGACTTTACTTTAGGCCCAATTATATGGAAATACATGCATGGTAGTCCTACTTGACGATACTATACAGTACATAACTTCTAGCAAAATGTTATTTATTTGAAAATCAAAATATGTGTATTTGATAGGATTCACAAAATTCTTGAAAACAAACTTATGAATTTCAGTTTGGTAGGCCAAACTTTATCATGGGTATCAATTTTTCCATTGGAAAAAGTACAAGTCTCGCAGGCAACAAAATGGCATATTTCTTCCTATTTTAACACATATCAATTAAATAATACAAAGACATTTTTAATTTGCAATTATGTACTTGTAAAACTTTTACTGGAACTTTCCTTTCCGTTGTAGCGGAAGAATTCTTCTCCCCAATGATTAAGTGAGACAAAAATCATGAACATATCATGAAATTATAATTTGGAAGATATTTTTCAAAGTGTGTATTTCTTTATACGCACTGTGGTAATAGTATATTTGTAAAGCGCTATATAAAAATTAAATATTATTATTATTATTTCGTGTAAAATCTTTATTTTCTTCAAATACATGAATATCACAAACGTGAAACTTGATATTAATCACCTTTCAAAGAGGTACATACAAACAATTATGAAAGACTAAAGTCTCTGTATCTGCCAACTTTCATATATATATATATATATATATATATATATATATATATATGTATGTATTATGTTCATCATTTCAGTACAAATGAGTAATTACATCCTTTAGGCATGTAATAATTAATGATAATTTGATTAACTATGATCAATATACTCTTCTGCACTGTGATGACAATTTTTTTCTCTAAACAGTGTTACTTTACAAACACACAATAAAACACTGTTGTGAACTCTTTTATACCTTTTTAATTCACATATGTAGAGCTATACATCATGAACGAAATATTTCAATTTCTTTGCATTTAACACACAAATACAGTGTACAAAATAATGAGTATCAAATACCCTCTTTAAAAGTTGAAAGACATTTTGAATCTTTGACAAAGCTGAAAAAATAGATGAAAACCTATACAGGTAATCAATATCTATATACAAGTGTATTGAGAGGAATAATATGTTGATGACTATACTGCAAACGCAGAAATATTTGCGGTACATACATTTTCACTAATTTCGCGCTGAAGTCGCTCTCCGCGAATTTTAGAACCTGCGAAAATATGAACATGACTTCTTATGCGTGTTCTGAATGGGCTGAATTTGGTGCAACACAAATTAAGAACCAGCGAATATGTTTTGGGGTTACTCGGCGCGAAAAAAAAAAAATCGCGCGAAAATAACAGTTTACAGTATGCTTGAAAAAGATTTTAATTAAATACAAGACCTATCAATCCCATTTCAACATCATGATTGATCATCATTCTCATGGAAAGAAAACACAATAAATATTCAAAGAATAATATTTCAATTATATGCATAAATATGTGACTCTTGATTGGTCTATTTCAGCGACAGTATAAAAACAAAGCCTAGTAGGTAGCCTCATTCGATGTGCTCTTTTTATAAAAAAAAAAGGTTTTCAAATCAGCATTACTCTCCATTACTTTACACAAATAGGGAAGCCTCACCAGCATCAATGCTGTTCTTCGTGAGGGCCTGCAATTATTATAACCCAAGCAGTTGCCAGGTACGCATTTACAAATGGAAAGTGCATGGCTAAAAGTGGATCACCAAAGGATGTTAGTGCTGGGCTGGGATTTGAACCTCCTACCCTCGGATTGAGAGTCGAGTGAATGAACCACTATACCATGACACCTCCATAGAACTGATATACCCTAAAGGGCCTTATAGACTGTTTTATTCTTTCCTTGCATCAGGTAATACTGACCAGGCAGTGAGTTAGCTCTGATTAAATAATGCATTACTTCCAATGATTAGATTGCTCTTCAATGATGCAAGAACAAAAATGATTCAACACTCACATGAAAAATGACTGTTACAGCAGTGATACAAGCAGCAAATACCTGATATAGAGAAGCAAAATTACTGTTAACATGCGAGTTGTAACTTAATGATAAGAATTACTGTGCTTGCAGCAAATTAGAATACAAGAAACCCATTTGTAAAAGTACGCACTAATCATTGTACAAAGAGCAAGTGAAAAATAATTGCATCCTTTTTTTTGCAAGAACGGAAGGTGCATATGTAACAAATATAAACCGGTAATAATTGCAGGAATAAAAAAAGGTCAGGATTTAGATGGATCACAAAACGCGGTAAAAAAGTTTATGGATGTGAATTTAGGTTCATGTAGCAATACAAAAAGGGAGATTTTGTTTTGAAAATATCAACCTGTCCTAAGTAACAACACGTAAACAACGATTTTAATACTCTGTTTGGTAAGACCAGGTAGTTGTTAGGCTCATTCACGGATGACACAGGAAATCACAGAGGTTTCTTACGACGACATAAGCATAAATGCACTTCACACTTCTGTATCTGCAAACACAGAGATACTTGTTCCTTGATCACCCCCTCTCGACATACGTTAACATATTATATAAAAATTAATCCTGCCACGGTTTCCTGCATCTTTTTTGAAGGAGCCTTTAGTCTATGTCAGTATATAGTACTCCCTTTCTTGAATAGCAGTAGGTGAGTTATAAACATATGAATACCATTTATTGAGTCTCAAGGAAACACAGAGGGCAGTACAAAATGTGAACCATGGTACAAATGTATCATAAATCTGACAAGTTGTAGTGGTAGTTGTATTAGCAACCAGAGGACCAACGGCTTTAAGTCCTCTCCGAGAGACCTGGTAATGAGGATTATAATTCCTACCAAAGGGCACTAGCGCATCGCCTTGAATTAGAACCCGGGTTGCTGGATTACGAGACCACTGCTCTACCAACTGAGCACCTCCTCATCAGAATTCATGATCTTTTTTTTAAATACCATAATAACACAAGCTCTTCTTAATGAATGTCATAATGCACTCATCTGAGAAACAGAAAGGAACCACATCACAGTTCTTCCGGTATATGAAAATCTCTGATGAGATGATCTGCATAATGTTTGTTCTTGCTCTTGTTCATGGCTTGAATGAGCGAACGATAGGTCAAATCCTTCCCTACAGCACCTAACAGTGTCTTCAGAAACTCAAAGCCTTGTTCCTCTTTAAGCGTCAGCGCCTCAACGTTACTAATATCTCTTTCCTGGAGGCCCAACATCCGACAGATTATCTTGATTTGGACGTGGGGGAGCTCCTGTGCGACGTGCTGGAGGAACTTGGTCGTGACTACATCGTCTAAAATTATCAGACAAAGAGAAGAACATATGGTAAGTATGAACATGAGTCTTATAAATGGTAAAGTGCATTACATTTTTTGAAAGAGAAAGTATTTTCTCCCCCCAATCAATAAAGTAGAGCTCTGTCGAGGTTCTAAAATGCGATGTATTTTAACACCTCATAAAATTTTGAATAGACATGTAATGTAAATGAATTAGTCTTTCCAAATTCTTAATTTTCAACATAAAGTAACTAGAATATTAAAAATGACAAAAACTAGAACCTCATTTCAGTCAGACAAAATATTCAAATTATACTAATCAACGGTGTGACAAGTACAAAAAAGTACAAAGAATTTAATTATATTTTTTGTACTTGTTTAGGTTTACAACCATGTTGTAAAGAGTAGAATCCAACTGGTGAGAGTGCTGAAAAAACCTAAAACTACGCTTAATTTATAATATTTTTTTAATTGGAATGAGTGCAACTTAAGTATTCTGTTACATGTCTAAGTACTTTCAAGCAAAAATAGTGATATTTGAGAAAAAGAGAGTCAATTTGATAACTAACCGGCTTTAGTTACTGGCCTGACTTGTTCTGGGGTAGTGTTGGTTCTTCTGTCATCATCACCTGCACCTGATGGAAGACTAGAGGCACTGCCAGATGGATGACCGGAGGCACTGCCAGATGGATGACCGGAGGCACTGCCAGATGGATGACCGGAGGCACTGCCAGATGGATGACCGGAGGCACTGCCAGATGGATGACCGGAGGCACCGCCAGATGGATGACCGGAGGCACCACCAGATGGATGACCAGAGGCACCGCCAGATGGAGGACCAGAGGCACCACCAGATGGATGACCAGAGGCACTGCCAGATGGATGACCAGAGGCACTGCCTGATGGATGACCAGAGGCACTGGCAGATGGATGACCAGAGGCACTGCCAGATGGATGACCAGAGGCATCGCCTGATGGATGACCAGAGGCGATGGTAGATGGATGACCGGAGGCATCGCCTGATGGATGACCAGAGGCACTGGCAGATGGATGCCCAGAGGCACCACCAGATGGAAGACCAGAGGCACCACCAGATGGAAGACCAGAGGCACCACCTAATGAATGACCAGAGGCAGCACCGGATGGATCACCAGAGGCACTGGATGGATGACCGGAGGTATGGCCAGATGAATGACCAGAGGCACCATCTAATTGAAGATCAGGGGCAAAGCCAGATGGAGGAACAGAGGCATTGTTGGATTTGTTGGTACATGTACCATCTGTACAACTATTTTCATCACTGCTGGTATTGGTGGCTAGTTCATCAGGTGCTGCATTAGGTGTAGCATGATAACCACCTGTAACTCGCTTTGCACCATCATTTATATCCATGGTAGACTTATCAGCAATGTCCTCTATATCTAATCCACTGTGTGTAGCAACACCGCCACCATCAGCACCGTCTGTATGACTGTCACCACTGGCAATGATGTCTTTTACAGTGGATGTACCTTTCATGGAAGATAGATCATCTGGTAGAGCACCACTGGCACCATCACCTACACCAACTGGATTAACAGCAGGAATGTTGAAATCTAGTCCACCTCTGGAAGATGCACCAACATCAGCACCATCAATACCAGCATCCTTACCACCGGTTGCTTCCTCCTTAGTATGTTGATCAAGAGAATGTTCAGCAGCCTCTGTAACATCAGCTGCAGAACCATGAGCACCATCACTCGAAGAACCATGAGCACTGTCACTCGAAGAACCATGAGCACCATCACTCGAACCACCATCAATATCATCAGTAGCGGTATCAGAAGCACTGTCACTTCGCCCAATAGCATCTATATCAGCTGCATCATCAGGACTACCTTCAGCAAACCCATTGTCAGTTGTGCGATCAACCACTAGAGGATGTTCAGCAGCCTCTCGAACATCAGCTGCAGAACCTTGAGCCCCATCACTCAAACCACCATCAGTATCATTGGTAGCGATATCAGAAGCACTGCAACTTTCCCCGATTGCACCATCATCAGCTGCATCATCAGGACTACCTTCAGCAAACCCATGGTCAGTTGTGTCATCCACGGCAGCATCACCTGAAGCTTGCACAGCATCTCTATCTACAGGATTTTGGACAGCTCCTGCTCCTTCATTTTGCCGCTCGTCTCCTAGCAGTGGATCTATAAAAAAAAATTAAACCAACGATAATTACTAATTAATAAATTGATTACCCTTCTTGCAGCTAAAAAGCTAAACATTGCAAAATCATAACATTAAAGCAGCAAATCAATTAGATATTTGTGATTAACTATAATTCTTTTTTCTGCTCCTAAACCTGGGTTCTTGTTTTTTTTAAAAGGTAATTAAAGACCAGTTTTGGAAACGCCCTAATTTCAAAAAATGAAATGGAAGCTCTTATTACCAATCATGTGAAAGAATATGTTTTGACTATTAAATACGTAATGATAAAATTTTTGCCGGGAAACCGCCTACTAATTGATATATTTGGTAATTTAATTTATCTATTTGTGTGAGAGATAAACACATGTGTCGCGTACGTGTGCATATTCCCATATACATCTTTCTGTGTACAGTGCTTGTAACTTTACGAAGACTGGGCAAATCATTTTGATGATTCCAGAACCTTGCAGTACACACCAATACTTATATGCTAGATGATCAACCTTTTCTGATCGATTCCACGTTTCTTTCACAATGCAATCGCATAACCATAACTGGTCTTTATCTTTAAGTTTGGCTTAAAAACAATATCCCCCAAAAGGAAAGAAGAAATGATGAATAACCTTACACTAAAATCACTTCTTAAAATATGAATCTATTATTAATTGTAATTACAGTGGGAAACATATCCTGATAAAGAAATTGTTAAGCAGTTAAACTATATATATACCTGAATGAAATGATACTGACTATTTCTCATGAAACAAGCATTAATAATATTATAATTTCAAGGACATTTTTTGAAGAAATGCTGAATGAAGACAAAAAGCAATCCATCTTTTTTTAATGCTCACCTATTTCTTCATGCCCCCTGTCTCCATCACCTTCATACCGTGCATTTCCGTTTCTCATCATTACATCGAGTGGGATATTCTCTGGAAAAGAGATAAACATGTAAACTTGTATCATTTTTACAACTTTAAGAGCTCAATGACAAAATTTGCTATCAATTCACATTATTCATTTGCTATCTCATCAAGTCGTAAGCTATCCAGTCAATTCAGTCTGCATGTACATAGAGCAAGCTAGGTTGGCAATTTGACACAGCCCCAAAGCCAAGATAGTGGCGTGTCCCCTTCATTATTTTAGTTGTTTAGTTAGACGCGACTTAGACACGACTTCAGAATATTTAATTTAGTAAGACAGGACTTAAGACGCGAGCTCGTAGTCCCGTCTATAAACTAAATAGTTGTTTAACTTTAGTCATGACTAAGTTAGACACGACTTCAGAATAACAACCTATGTATTTAACTGTCTAAATTCTTACTTTTTAAAAAAGTATTTCCCAGTATTTGTTAACCTGACTTGCTTTATTTTCACCATTAATATGCTCATTAACTGACAAAATGTGTATTTTTACACCAAAATAGGGTGCTGAGGCATTTCTTCCATGGTAAAATTGCTCTGGACTTCACTTGATCATAGATACAGGGATAAGGATAAGGATTAATTGCAACCAGAATTATATTAGGGAGCTTAGCAAATTTAGTGGCATGGAAAGATACGTCCAGAACACGACAGGCATAACAGTCAGAGATATCTGTTAATTGAAGAAAGAAAAAATTGTGTGTATATGGGCGTGTGTGAGGGTGTGTGTGTGCATGTGCATTTTTTTTCTTCAAACGGATCTTAGAACACTGTCAAGATATAATTCCTACCTTGATTATCTTGCAGCTTCTTCCTCGCAAGATATTCTTTCCACCAGCCAATCAAAGCGAACATGAGCATTACAGCCAATGCAACGATGATTGCTAAACATACGTACAGCCATTTATTAGAGGCGTATGGAGTGGATATAGGCAGCACCTCTGGGGATTCTACAAAAAGATGTCCAAGATGTTCATTTAATTCATTTAGACACAATGCAATTAACATTGGAAAAACATTTTACAACAGAAATATTTCAATAATATTTATTAAAGTTTCCTATAGTAACTGAATACATCATACATTTCTGGCAATCAATATTTTAGCTGATCAAGACTGGAATTATGATCCACTCTGTACATTATCTGCTCCAACTCCTCTCGACATTTTCTGAACTCTATGGCTCGAATTCACAAAGGAGGTTTAAATTTAATCCATGGTTTATACCTTCATTTACATAACCCATGATTTAAAATTAGCGCAAAATAAGCACAACACAGTCAAGAGGTCCAATATTAGACGCGCGCAAGGCAAGGTACGCTTATTTTGAGCTAACTTTTAAACCATGGGTCATGTAAATGAAGGTTTAAACCATGGGTTAAATGTAAACCTCCTTTGTGAATTCGGGCCTAGGTCTGCAAAGAATCAAAAGTCGAAACTAAAGACTGACAGTCTGACACATTGTTACATCAACAGCAAAACATGTTTTGTTGATTACATGGTATATACTTTGAGGCCAACTGGTGCCAGAATGGACTCTCCCTTTTAAAACTAGAAAGTAATATGAAATATCTCGTACCTCCAGGCAAATCAGTCTGATCGGTTGTAGGAGTTGAATCATCTGTTAGCGAAGCTGCAGTGGATGGCTCAAGAGAGTATGCTGCTTCCTTTGAGGACGTAGTTGCTTCCTTAAAGGGTGGTGGCAAGGATCTTGTCTGTTTTAAGGAAATATGCATGCATCGATCATCATGGCATGATTACTTTGCTAATCCCATCCTACACATGCACATTCACATGTATAAAGTTATCAAAAAATGTTCTTTGTTACACATTAAAACAGATTTAACGATATCATGGGGTGTTGTGTAGTTTACATGTATATGTCCTCCTATGGAAATAGATTAAATGCTTCCTCATTAATATTGAAGGCATATTTGATCAATTACCAATAAGGAATTCCTATTACATGAAGAAGTTTCGTAGTCGAGTGGTTTAAGCACTCAACTTGAAATTGAAAGGTTGTGGTTCGATCCCCGACACGGCACTAATGTCCTTTATCAAGACGTCAATCTACATTTGCCACTCTCCACCCAGGTTTGATGAGCAAGTGGCGCTTGTAATATGGCAACTGGCGCATTAGGCACGTGTGTGAGTTATTATTATTATTAGCTGATTTCTTGACTATCAATCTTTTGTTAATTTCTCCAGTTTTGTTCCCCTTATTTTTCTAAATTGGTTTAATTCTTTGAGTTTTCTGCTCTAAGAAAAGTGTAATAAATGTAACAAATATGATGATGGTGATGATGAATTACTAACCGTTGGTTCTGGGTTCAATGGTGTACATATCGTGTCACTATCCATTTCACATGCCTTCTCAACAGTTTCTCCCTCATCACACACGGAGCAGGGATGGCAGACCCTGCACTTGTTATACATTTTCTGGAAGGTATTCGGTAGGCAGTTATCACACCTATATCAATTAGAGAAGAGTGGGTGAATAAAGAAAACATATCTAAAAAAATATATATTTATCTTCACTTCACAATAGTTAAATAGTCATTTTTAATAGATCCCTTCTTTGTCATTCAAGTATTTCTTTCCCCCAAAACCAGCACTTAGTACTACCCCCTCCCCCACCCCCTCAATTACAGATAAGAAACTGGGGGTGTTTCACAAAGATCCTAAGTATAAACTCTAAGTTGGACTTTAACAATTATGGAGAGCCATTTGTAGCCTTAAGATAAATATATTCAAAAGCAAAATTTCAAGTATTTCTAGACTTTTTATTGCTGTGGAATTTATAAAAAGTCTAGAAATGAAATGTCCTTTATAATAGAAAATATGAATTATTTAATTCAACATTTTATGCCTTTAAAAAAAACTTTTACAAAATATTTTCATAGATGCTAACGGTTTCCATAATTGTTAAGTACAACTTAGAGATAAGTTCAACTTAGCATCTTTGTGAAACACCCCCCGGAGTAGAAGTGACATTGGACATTTCTCTGAAATTCCTTGGTTTTTGTTGGTTTCATGTGGTACCATCCTGGTTACTTTTCATCACAATGATGGCAAAGTTTTAATGGACATCATTATTTAGTAGACATGAAAAAGAAGAGGAGGATGAGCGAGAGAGGAAGGGTAAAGGGAGGGGTGGTGAGAAGGGAGGGGAAGAGGGGAAAGGGGAAAGGGGGTGGGGGTAATTGTCAATATATGACTTACATATCATGACTTGGATCAAAGCCTTCTGGAAGTCCATCAGCTCCTTGCACACACCACCAAACTCTTTTATATCCTGGATTGCACAAGGTCAGCGGAACGGTCTTGGTACCGCACTGTTCTTCATACTGATCGTATCCTGGAAGCTCACACTGATCCCATTCTGATTCCTAGACAAAATGAAAAGTTATATAAATAAAATAAAGGGAGTGATCTAACAACTCTGGACAGGCTTTACAGTATGTGGTCAAAGATATGGGGTTTATAATATGGTTATAGGGTTAGGGATATGGAAAGGGTTATGGTTAGGGTTGGGGTAGAGTTGCTAATTTAGCTTAGGGTTGGATATAATAATTGATGCAGTTTAGAATTCTATTAGTGTAGGAAATTCAGTGTGGAGCAAGGTGTTGATAGCTGAAGCACATGTCACAATATACAGGTCCTTGATAAAAAAACATTCATAAAGTTTGAGAAAGTTTGTCAAACACTCTCTGCATAGGTGTATGTAGAAAGGGGAGTCATAATTAGCCTACCGGTAAGCCACACATACACACATACATTTCTCTATACAACAATTTCTCATCTCTAGGCATTATTAATAATGCATGAATTACTGCATGCCTAAAATTGCAATCCAATGAATCACCACTAAACAAACAGCTAGAGTGGTGAAGTGTGACGTCATCAAAAATCTATTTTTGGAATTTCTCAACTTGTCTTCATTTTCCAAAAGAGCATACAAAATAATGTCCAAATGTCAAAAACCAATTAAATAGGTTAAGTATTGGCTGAGATCTATATGACCATCTGAATAAATAGATTTCCTATAGGAACTCGGTATTATATTGCTCTGGCTCATATTTCTGATGCTATTTCGGAAAATTAAGAAAAAATTGAGAAATTCCAAAAATAGATTTTTTGATGTCACAGCTCGAGTACTCTATAGAATGTGAACTGATTAACAAACACCTGTGCATGATGCTCCAGTACCTGAAGTCATCAAGATTATTTAATGACTCATAAAAGTAGTTTCATGGGGAATTTGACACTGTTAGAGTGTTTACCCAATAACAGGTGTTGTCAATCAGAGGGATTTATGAGTAAATTTTTAAAGTTTTATGAGTACCAACCAGCTTTATATACAGTATGTAATGCTGTCTTTTTGGTAACCATGGTTTTTGTTGTCCAATTATACCATCCACTGTGGTACCAAACAATGAAATTATATGAAATTATCATTGTTTTATACCTTGATTACCATGGTTACCATGGTGGATGGTAGTTTGGACAGAAAAACCATGGTTCCCCACAAATATTCAGTAATTTTGAACCAGCCGTTGAAAATCGAGATAGCGCCTGATACGTTTTATTCCAGCCAATGCCAATTTTTGTTGGCTTTTTCGTGTTGGTTATGATACGCACAACCAGCCGACCAATGTGTTGTTATTAACTAATTTAATTAATTAGCGATCACCATAATTTTTTTTAAAGTGAAGCTAAATCAGTAGATCGTATTCAATCTAAATTCACACATGTTGGGGTCTATAATTACCTTCTTAGCAATTTTAGGTTCTAAAAGGGCACAAGAAAGTCATAAATAAGAATAAGAGCAATAACAATGCACTTTGAAGGCATTTACGATCTTAAAAAAGACCTCATGCAACTACCCTTTTGAATTGTTTTATAAGACACTGCCCTAATGACACGTAAGTTGAATACTAACCTGTTGCTGTAAGGGAGATGATGCTTGCTGAACAGGCAAACCCTCAATCAAGACAGTGTATGGAATGAGGAGACATATTGGTAGCAGTGTATTTACCTGAAAAATATAAGACATATAACATATATGTATTTTTTTAAATATAAGTTGCAAAACGTGAACAATATTATAGCATCACCAAACATCTTATGTGTTCAAACAGTAGACTCTCACTATATAAGAGCTCTGGTGGGTAAGTCAATTGGTTCTCTGTATCTCAGAATGACTAAGTGATTACAAAACAGGCAATATGGAACAAACTAATAGTAATACCATCACAAAATTAGAGAAAAAACAAATTCATGCCACATCACAGATTATACATCTTTTTCAATTTTTTTTTTACTTCTTAATTTTTATGTAAATATTGGGACCCTGCCCATAGGCTATATCACTTTGAAAGAAATATCCCCCATTTTATGTAATGACTTTATTATTGTTTTGATTCTACCCATGTATTCACAATGTTTTCAAAGGGAAATAAATGAAATTTAAATTGTATGCCAACTTGCTGAACATATCCGGAACTGTCATAGTCAAGCAGTACACCAGACTGGAGATACCAAGATCCGGAGGGGTACACACATATTAAATTCAAATTTTAATGGGTCACTTTTTCACGAAAACTCCCTAAACATGGGTCCCATTTTTAACAAAAATGTCCCTTAACCTGGGTCCGGTTTTTAAAAATAGTGAAAATGGGCTTTACTTCGAGAAAAATGACCCTTAAAAATGGGTAGGAGTTTAGAGGCTTGCGCGGCACACCCCTGTCCAAACCGAATCTGAGTGGAGCTAGACGTAGACGTATTCTCAGCGGAACAATCAACGTTGATATAGATATAGACTGCATCACTGAAGCTTATTTCTAAGCAATTTCCTACTAAAAGTACTACAACGTACTATTGTATTTTTTCCTTTAACATGGTCTTGGGACATACACTTACCCAATGTTATAATTAATAATCATATGTGGATCTGGATGTGTACGCTGCAGGGCCCTACTGGACATAAACGCATTAAAAATGCTATTACAAATTTTGAATAGTTTATACTGATGTACCTTCATTCCAGCAATTAAGCATAGGGGTCTATAGAGTCAATGCTAATGCACTCATTATACACAAATGTATACCATGCCGATGTGGCTGATCAGCAATAGACTTTAATAGAGTTAGACTAGATCTAGGATCTAGAATAGATCTACTCTAAAGTTACAATTTGAATTTTTTAAATTCTTTCGCCATTGATAAGTTGAAAAATTTGTATTTTACTGCTCTTTAGCTAGGCGTCATCAATTGTCACTAAAGTACTGATTTTTAGTGAAATCAGTTGAGTTTTGTACAGCAGTGTTTGAAATGTTAAGAATCAATACACAGCCAGGGTAGTAATGCAGGATAGTAATGCAGCTATGTCATGTGTGCATTCACGTGTGTCCATGTGGGCATCAGCCAGTAAGTATGTACGTAGGCCTACATCATACATGTAAGCTAAGCTAAGCTCGCAAATGTGTGATGTATACTCACCATTTTGCGGCTATGCCTGTGCCCGGACGGGGCAGAATTTGCAAGAAACTTCCAGTTCAACCGTTCCACATTTACTCCACAAAACACATACAAAGCAGAATACATGAATTTTTCTAATACTCTTAGATCATTATCGCAAATCAAAGCGATGCACTGACTCTCGCGGGCAAGGCGCGCGAGATAAATGAAAAATTGCACTGGCGATCGAGTCAAGGAGGCAGAGAGCGCTCGGGTATATTATGCGAATGACGACATCGGGGATTCCCCCTTTAGTTTCGGAATCTCCTCGTGTCTCAGTTCGGAATCCTATTCACCAATCGAATGATGGGAATCCTATTATTCACCAATCAAATGATGTTTGCTTACTTTGGGTTCAGTCGTTATGACAACACTTTTCATACTTTTCATATCTTAAGTCAGAATTATAGTGACTAATATCAACAGAAAGTTCAACAGACCAAGTATTATTGTAGCTCCCTTACAAAAAAGTACCATGTACGTAACCATGGTTTTTGGTCCAAATTACCATCCACCATGGTAACCATGGTAGGCTAGAAAGGTTTAGTGATTTCTCTAATTTTACACCATGATCAATAGAATCTGGCAATGGACACGGAGATCGGCTGAACAGTCATTTTGCTGATCCATGTAAGCGCTTTGTGAGGGCCTCCGGTCCTGAAAAGCGCTATATAAGAACGAGCTATTATTATTATTATTATTATGACTCTGCCCAGTTTTGAATGAAATTGGTGGTTAAAAGTAGGCCTACCCTCCCATTTGCAGGCCAAAAATATAAAAAGTTAAATTCCACCGGCATTTGAAAGATAATACTAATTTGGACTCCTCTCAAAACGAAAGGGCTTGAAAATGCAGTGTGGGAAAATAACAATCATTAAAAAACTGTTGTCGAATCAAGTTTAGTGATTGCAATCCATTTAGTAAATAGTCTGATTTTCAGACCCTTGTACCGAATGGTTGTACGTTTTGTGCTGCACAAAGATTCATACCCCATCCTTTCTCACTCAAATGTCTTTTGAATACTGACTTACATTTCCTGTTTTCGCCTTATTCTAAATAATTTTGATATTGGAGCTTGTAACATTTTTTTTTGTTTGTTTTGTTTTGTTTTAGTACGATGGCGTCTCGTGGCTTACCGGGCAGAGTAATTTGATGAGGCAGCATGCTTTTGTTGTTGCTGTTTGTATATATATTTTTTTTAAATATTTTTTCTTGCCCTCAGGATGCTTTGCTCACGGTCTGCCACGATGCGCAATCGCATGAGGTCTAAATAAATAAGTATTTAATAATGACGTTTTTTTTTTTTTTTTTTTTTTTTTTTTTTTTTTTGTATATGTATTTTCTAAAAAATGAAAGTAATTTTCATTATTATTTCTGTTATATTCACTCTTTTGTTGCGTATAACTATAATTATGACTAGTCTACATTGAAAATCTATTTCGAACTTCTTTATCTATATCAGGGAGTTCAAGATAGTGTTGTTTTGCTTTGTAATGCTTTGTTACGATTTTGCGGATGTTTATGATTTCTTGTAATATATTCATATCTGTTAAATGTTCGTCTTTTGTTTGTCTATGTTTACTTGTGTATTTTTTCTTGTCTATACTTAATTTCCATTTTTATATCACAATGTTGTCCATACAGACCGATTCTCTTTTTCTATCTAAATTTGAAACTTCCATTTTAGAAACTGCGCATTATTGTATATTATACTACTATTTTGTTACGCAATCCTTTTGTGGTCAAACTCTAAATGGATACGTTACATAATAACTTAGCGTTTAATTCTCTTCGTGATGCTCGATATGATGAGACTATCGCCAATTCTCTAACTGAGTACATTACTAACCATCAATTCAAAGACTTCATGTGTAATAATAATATTAATAAAGATACATTTTCTTTATTCCATTTGAATATTAGAAGTATTAATAAACATTTTGATGATTTTCAATTCCTCTTAGATAATTCGTCCCAATGTCTTCCCTCTATAATTGGGCTTACCGAGACTTGGTTAACCTCAGATCCTAACCCACCATTTGCCCTACATGAACATGATTTTATTTTTAGTAGTAGGAAGGAAAAACTTGGAGGAGGTGTTGGTTTATATGTTTCAAAAAATTATTCTTACAATGTTTGTAATGATATTACTATAATGAACAATATCTTGGAATCCTTGTTTATTGAAATCTTATTGCCAGGTCGGAAGAATGTAATAATTGGTGTAGTTTATCGACCCCCAAGTAGTAATACTTTAGATTTTTTATCGTCCCTAACTGATATTTTGAATAATTCGGTAATGATTAATAAAGATTGCTTTAAAATGGGTGACTTCAATATCAATTTATTAAAATATGATACTGATAATTTATGTCATGATTTTTTGGAAATATTTTTATCAAATTCATTCTTCCCACTTATTTCTAAGCCCACTCGTGTAACTAATAATTCTGCTACATTGATTGATAATATCTTTAGTAATGTCATTCCACATCCTGATTCATACATTATACTTTCTGATATATCTGATCATTATCCCATTTTTACTCAGTTTACTTTTTCAAATTCAGTCCACGGTGGACGGCCTCGTCCATTAAGACATCGAGCTTCCCCAGAGAATATAGCAAGACTTGGAGCCAGTTTAGAGCACGCAGATTGGTCAAGTGTTTATAACACTGATGATGTAAATAGTTCGTATAATAATTTTTTAGATATTCTGAATGAAGAGTTAGATACATGTATTCCCTTACAAAGAGATAAAGTAAATAATTATAAAATTACCCCTAGACTTCCCTGGATTTCGAAATCTCTTTTAAGATGTATTAATAAAAAGAATAAGTTGTACTATAAGTATAAAGCAAATCTTACAGATAGAACTAAAAGTAAATATACTTCGTATAAGAATGCTTTGATTAGAATTTTGCGTTTTGAAAAGAAGAATTATTTCGTGAATCGCTTAGAGTTTCATAA